CCACTGGCCGAGTTTGCATACAACAACGCAGCTCACGAGTCGACCGGGGTCGCACCATTCTACGCTAACTACGGTCTTCATCCTAGATTCTCTGTGCACCAGCCTGTCGGGTCAATCAATCCGGCTGCCGAACCAGCCTGTCGGGTCAATCAATCCGGCTGCCGAGTCACACGCCATACTCATTGGCAATATCAGGGAGTACTTGACTGCGAACCTCCGCGACTCCCAGGAGCGTTACAAGTACTACGCGGACCTGCGGCGAGCGGAGGCACCCGAGTACTCCCCGGGTGACCAAGTCTGGTTGCGCCGCCTCAACATCAAGACCACTCGCCCCTCCGACAAGTTGGACTACAAGCGCATTGGTCCGTACAAGATCAAGAGGAAGATCAACGACGTTGCCTACGAATTGGAACTCCCACCACGTTTCCGGATTCATCCGGTATTTCATGTGTCACTGCTAGACCCCCACGTGACCCCACTCATCCCCAATCGTATCATCCCACCCCCACCACCAGTTGAAGTCGAGGGCAATATCGAGTATGAGGTCGAAGAAATATTGGACTCGAAGAAACAAGGTCGTGGGATGCTTTACTTGGTATCCTGGAAAGGATACCCAATGTCGGAATCCACCTGGGAATCGCCCGCAAATGTGATGAACGCTCCGGAGCTGGTGGAGGAGTTCCACCAGCGATACCCGGACAAGCCAAAGCCGGTATCCAGGTCTCGCAGTCGGTGAAGGGGGGAGTGATGTGACGACTCGGTCCAATCGCCACATGTCGCGAGGGCTGGGTCGTACACGCGAGCGAGGAGGCTCCCCACCACTACCCCCACTGCGGTTTGCTGGGTTCTCACGATATATAAAGGGTGAAGCCCCAGCACTGGAAGGACCCAGCAAGACGAGTCTTCTGTTCATCTCGCCTTCCTGCCTACTCCGCTGACCAGCCTGTCTGAATACACCTCCGTTCCCACGCTGCCTTGCCCGCTCCGCTCGCCCGTGCCCCGATTGTCCCATGTCCCGTCCCCGGTCCGTCCCTCGTTCATTACAGTTCGGTGTTGTATTCCATATCAAGAGAGATGTTTCCAATGATCCGAAAACTCTCAATGACGCACTGTTGCCTCTGCCCATTATCCAACACATAACACAGTATATCCGTGCAGAGTCTCATTCTCCTCAACTGTGTTTCCTCGATGCCTTCCTTGGGCGCTGTGAGCTTGCCGGTGGGTTGGCACGTCGATTCGGTAGCGAGAGGTGATATCTAGACCAGATATTTATCAGCTCGTTGGCTTCCGTTGCTGTGTCTCCCATCCAGATAATGACTTCCAGATTCTTACCTTTCCTTCTCCACTCTCTGCCGCAAAATGCCAGTCATCACAAACTCGTTGGTGTGGATCGTCCATCCCTTCTGAGCAAGTGCTTGACACTCCTCCTCGTCTTCATGGCAGCCCAAGACGATGGTATTTTCGTCTGGGGATTCATCGACTCGCTGTATCATCTGAGACACGATGTACGGATTTAGTGGGCCATCACTATGTTGATCGTTGCGGTCGCCATTACTTCCACCTTACCGTGCCGCCCGATGCGCTAACAATCTCCCTCAGCTCGTCTTCCGCAGGTTTAATATTTTTTGTTGCATAGAACTGCAGCCCCTTCATCAGCGAACTTGGATGCATCTGAGTCTGTGCAAGGGAAGACCTCAGCGAGAAACTATGGGCCTTCTCGCCTTCCTTATCTTGTAAAATGAACTTCTTTTCGTCTGCCAGTTGAGCGTCGTAGTCGTCACTATGGCTGTCTCCAAGTCATCATACTCATCGCTCAAGATGGAGCATCATTTATCTTCCAGCAATCGCCGAACTCTTACCCACAAAGTAGCCCTTTGATTTTGAATCGTCGAGCCACCGGATACTGACAATGTTCCGACCAGCGGAAAGCGCACATAAAAACTTCACTGTGCGTCGTATTTTGTCTGTGACCAGGTGTGTGCAGTCTTCCCATGAATCTGCGACTCGTCCACCAAGATCCTCTACGATCTAAATTAAGCCCAGCCAAGTCGATCGCTTCAGGTTCAGAATATACCACCACGTTTCCCCCCCCCAACACACATGCATCCGGAGTATTTTCGCCACTCACCGCCCGACGTGACTCATCATCGATTCCAGTAAACATGACACTTGGAGCTATATCTGTGTGAATCGCCTTTGCATCATCCGTGCCGTATGTCCACGATCGCTGCGCTCGAACCGAGCTCGTCCAGCTGTAATTTTGAGTTGACCACATTCTCGTTAATCAACTATGGCTTACCCCATTCTTCATCCCGCCTGCGACATGCATTCGTTACAGGCTCTGACACTGTCGTCAAAAATATGTTCTAGATCATCCAGGACTAATGGATAGGAAGGCTACACACCTATCTTGCGACTGCTGTACCGACTGGCTGCTCAAGGGGTTCATAATGGCTTGCTGATTCTGCTCCTCGTCCGTTAACAGACCCGAGTTTCCACGGGGCAGTGTTCTCTGAGAGGCACTTTCTTGGTTGCTGCGGTCCCTTATTCGCTTTGACTGTCGAGCTGCTGTTGAGATGTCTCGAGCCTTGCGTTTCCGAGTTTTGCCCAGAGTCAGAGTGGCATTTGCATCACCCTCGCTTTGAGCAGTGGACACTGATCTCAGTGTCGAGGACACTGTCAGGGCAGGGGTATATTGCGACAAAGTCTCGTGCTGTGGGCCTTCCGAGCTGTCGCTGGCGCCATTTCGTGTGATATGAACTGAGGCCTGCTCCTCTTCAGTCACATTCTCGATGTTCTCGGCTGCCTCCTTCGCTTCCGAATATGAACCCATCTCGGCAATGTCGTCTATTTTCAGTGTAGCTGTGTCTGGGGCCTGGCTGATCGAGTGTGAGGCCCAGAGCTCTGATACCCGTTGCTCCTCGTCTTCGACAGCGGTTGATTTGCCAAAAACTTCGGATGTCTTGCTGTTACTTCGACTACTTCGACTACTTCGGGTGTTGGTTGTTGTTGATGAACTTGTCCGCCAAGAGACAGCCCTTGCTGCTGCTCGATGTTCGAGGACCACCGAGGGCTCGGAAAGAATTACCGAATCGGAAATCTCATCCCACCTACCAGGCACCTTTCGACGACCTGAGATTGCAGATTTTGCCAAACGCTTCTTTGCTTGGCCCCTCTGTGAATTTCCGCGGAATGATTCGGCTTCTGCGTTCACTGGAGGCACTGAATACTGAAAGCTGGACTGAGAAACACGATGCACCTCATTGTCCGTCTTGTCATCCGAAATTTTTGACTCGTTGATAACATCGGGTGTGCTTGACTGATGAGCCGATAGTGTCGCACCATCACTCGTGCTGGAATTCTGCCGCTCGGACACTGACGAATGGTTTGGGTTTGGGCTGGATGAAGGGCTGTTTCGTTGAACGCTCTTGTTTCTCGATTTGGCAGCAGAGTCTTGACCGTCACCAGTATCGTGAATATCAGCAAATGATGCCAAGGCATCTTGTGCATGGTGACAGTTTGATTGGGCGGCGACGCACGAATCAGCGACCTGATTGGTGATCCGGTTATTTGACGTCCTCTCCGCGGCCAGATGGAGGGCCATGTTCATGGGAACGGTCGTACTTTCCGTTTCCGAGCCCATCCACACCCCGCCAGGTGTGTCAGACAGAGCATGTGGATCAACTTGGCCTGGAATCTCTTCTGCCCGGTGTGCAATCGAGTCAATGCCATCGTCAGCTTGGACTGGGGCATTGTTCTTCTGGACACGATCGACACCGATATCAGCATCCGGCTGGGCTTCTTCGTTTGGATTTGGCCCATTCGTTCTGCCATCGCCAGGATCGCCATGTAGCAGAGCCCCTCGTTCGTTTGCTATCGCAGGGTCTGGCGTGGCATGGACGCTCCGCCCGCTCTTGGCGGATCTGGACGACAGGAATCCGTCCAAGTCCGCCTCGATCAAGAGAGTTGGCTCCAGATCCAATCCGGTTTCGGTCAAGTTGTTCTGGACAAAACCCTCGTCTGGCCAGCTTCCAATGTCATGTTGGGGCTGCAGAGGCTGGGTTTGAGGCTCGCTGCTGTGAAGACTTGTCGCTCGGTTGGCTCCTGAGCCGCGATCGTCCAGCAGATCAGGCGATGGAAGTATCAGCTTTGACGAACCCTGCTCGCTCTTCGTTTGTGTCGATTCATATTCATCAAATACATCGGCGCCTTCCCCTAGGAGGTCGGCCGGGCTAGCCTTCTTTATCTTGGAGCGGCTGCCGCCGGGAATATGAAACGCGGGGCTTCGAATCGGCGAAAGCATCGACTGATGGGTCCGCGAGATGTTTTCATGGATGAGAGGGACAGAGCTCGAAGCTTCATCAGCCGGGATAACTGGTTGAGTTGAAACAACGTGCTCGATATTCGACGAGCCTGTACCCTCGACGATCTGCGTTGTTGACACCATGCCGCTCTGGACGAGTTGGGTGGACGGTCCATCGAACGGCGGAGACGCAAATGGGGCCGGCATGGTTGGCTCTACACTTCCAGAGTCAGTCTGGCCGAGCGGTGCTCCGTCGTCTAGAGTATTCAACAAAGTCAGCCAAGCAGACCACTTCATAACCGCTATGTTCGCCGATATCCTGCCTCACACTTGCCTGTTTGTGTCTCCTACACCGTTAACCAAAGAACCGGATATGGAAGGGGTCAAAAGCTGGGCGAGGCCGATTCAAGAGCTGGCAACATGGGTCAGCGGCTTGGTCTGGCAGTGCGAGACATCAAGCCTGCTGGCGCCAGATCCGCTCATGGAGCCAGACCATCCATGGACCCTGGACAGCTGGGCTCCCTTAACCGCCGCCTCGCCCCCCCCCCCTCGCTTCATTCTCTGCCTCGTCATGCCTCTGATGTTCTCGGCATACCACCGCCCAGAAGCCCGCATGCTGGATAATGACTACCTTGTCTTCGCGAAGTGGATCAACGATTTCATAACGGCATACGGCCGGCCCGAATTGAACTGCTTGGTTGTTCAATAGCTGGTACGCCCTTGCAGGATACAGTCTAACGGAATCGTCACCTTGGCCAATAGAGGTAAAGTTTGTGGATTCGAGGTCCTGGATAAAATGGATCGATCCTTGCGAGGATATCTCTACCGAGGATGAAGAGCATGTGTCAAGGCAGTAATCAAGCACCCAGCAGTGTTCGTCAGAATTGTCGGCTGGAGCTGTTGAGAGGAGTGAGCAGTGTGATGGATGCTGGTCCCATCTGATTCTGTCCAGCTCTCCCAGGCGAGAGTCCCTACAGACTGGTCTCTGACGGAACTGTTACCAACCGAAAATCGCATGGAGTCCGCTGACACCAGGCACGGGCAATACGACATCAGCTTCCATGTTGCTTCCAACACAGGTAATTCCTGTGTGGATGGGGTATTTGATCTGGTTGTCTGGATTGGCTTCATCAATGCAATAGAGATAGGCAGCCTAGTCGCAGAAGCGCACGATCGGTCGGGATCGACCGCTGTTGTCAGTTTCCATGGGAAGTTGGGGGGGGGTAAAGATACCCCATGTGCGCAAGCGAGGGGCAGAGTCTTTCGAGACTCGATGGATACCCTGCCGACTTGGCGGCTCCGCATCTTCCGCTCGCGGTTGCAGCTTTGATCGCCGGGCAAACCACATTATCTTCTGGACGAGAATCGGTTCGGAATATGCGATGGCACAGCGCCTCAGTGCGGCGGAGCACCGAGGCCATAAAAACCCAAGACAAAATAGATGAAGACTTGTTTACCAGCTTCCGCTCACTGGGTGAAAGGCCCAGCTTGTCCTTGACTTCGTTGACAAAGGCCAGTTTGGACAAGAGAGCCTGGTCGTAGGACGACGAGTCGCTGGGGTCGCTGACGGCTTGGGTGGGCTCGACGGAGGCCGGATAGGTGTTCGCAAAGGTGCCGAGGAGGGGGCTCTGCGATCGCGGCAGCGATTCACGCATCGCTTTGGCCGGCCTGGTTGGATCGGGTTGGATCTGGGAGAATTGAGGGGGCGATCTGGGAGGACGTTCGCTCCAAGATGATCAAGGCCATGACGACCCAATCCCCAAGCAGGCCGCCCGACATCGCACCAGGCGCCGCGCTGCGCATCGTTCGCGCCTCGCCCTTCGCTTGCTGCCGCTGCTTGCGTGTCATCTCATCGGACAGATCGCTCGGGGCCGAGATACGGACACTTCCCAGCAGCCCAGTCGGCCTCAGATCTCCAGAGTCCACAATGCTTCCCTCGGGCCCCTCAGGTAGCGGCAATCTGCCGGTCGGCGCTGTAGGCGACGGACAAGCCCTGCGTTGATGGCCCCATTGCTGCCGATCGCTGTCGATCGCTGTCGATCCTGGTCGGTTGCTGTCGATCCTGGTCGGTTGCTGCACCTCCCGCTGATTCACATTCTCCCCACCGTGTTTATCCCGCCGGACGCAATGGTATCCAACCATAGGCTTCTGTAAGTCGGCTGTTGTGCGTGTTTAGCGATGGGCCTGTGGATCTCTGGCAATGCAGCCCAGGACACAATCTCATGGCGAATCCTCATCGTGCAGACAATGCACCCGTGTCCAAGGGGGTGTTTCTGTTCGTCGGAATCAACAGCCTACTCTCGGCCGTTTTCAAGTTCAAGCACAGCTTTCATCTGCAGCTTTTCCCCCACATTGTGCGCGACCACCAAGTACGTTTGCTCCGGCCGTGGATACCATTGGAGGTGCCAGCACTTGCCCAAGCCCATACGGACAGAGCTCGGGACTAATCTTTTGATTGCATTCGAACTCGTGGTGGCGAATGCGGATGACCGGAGCAGTTCTGGAGACTGATCTCAACTCATTGCGGTGAGTTTGCTGGACAGCCATGAGCCTGAGGAATCTCACTACTTGCATCGGCGCCTTGGTCCTGCCTCTGTTATGATTTTAATCGCCACCCCTCTCGCCGCTGTCTCGTTCAAACTCCTCAACTATCAAACTTTCAAATCGTCGCGCTGAACTACTTCCGACGAACAACCAGCTTTCCGCAGCAGTGCAGAGATCCTGTTCGGCAGCTTGTTGATCTACCACATGCGCTTAATTGAGCGACAATGGGGAACCTCCAAGTTCGCTTCCTTTGTGACAATCACTTCGACCCTGTCAACCATATTCTACGTGGCCGTCCTCGCCTCGGGCCATTACTTTGGCCTGAAATATGTGTCGTCGGGACCATATGCCATTATCGTACGTTCCAACCTACGCAACCGCGCCAGTGACCCCGACTAGAGTCCACTGCCGATTCGTCTGCGAGGCCGCTCGATGGACTGAGACTCGCCGGCTCCGATTACTCACTCTCCGACTCCCTCGCACCGCCAGTTTGCTGCCCTGTGGCAGTATCATGCAACTGTTCCGGCCACTTGGAAGTCGCAGTTGCTGGGCATGAGCTTCAGCGACAAGTATCTGCCATACATGATGGCTGCCCAGGTAACTTGGTCGCGAGTTGGCAAGTTGTATTTCGATGCAAGTTCGAGTTCTGATATGCGGCATCAAGCTCCACTTGTGCGATTGACCCCTTGCTGTCGCCGTCATGCATGGCCGGCGTCTTGACTTCACGCCTCGAATCTGGATCGCTGTAACCGTCTGGGCATGGTATTGGTCGCATCGGTCTCATCTCGCCGCAATCTGCCTTTTCCTCCCTCATCCTTCCCCATTGGCGACATGGATCGCGATCCAAAACGAGGAAGCTCTTGCTGTCGTCGTTCCCAAACTCAGCCGTGGCCGGCGTCTGTGGCCTTGCCGCAGGAATGCTCTATCGACAACCGCTACTTCCCTTCCAAAAGTGGCGCTATCCCCAGGCTGTTCGCAGCTTTTGCAAGGCGTGGATCCTTCCCTTGCTGATGTCCTCCAATGTCCAGCGACCTTCCCTCACCAATGTTCAGGAGCGTACACCTCGACCACCCGCCCCAAGAACCAGTAACCATGATGCCGACACTATTGCCCAAGCTTCGACAGAAAATCCTCCAGAGGAACAGATCTCAGCCCTTGAAAGCATGGGCTTCCAGCGCGAGGACGTCCTCGCCGCGTTGCGCATGAGCGGCAATGATACAAATCGAGCGGCTGCACTCTTGCTTGATGGGCAGGAGGGTCAGAACATGCAGTGAACCTGGGTACACCGATTGACACGCTCTATTTGAGGATTGGGTCTTCGTCATCGAGAGAGCCTTCTTAGCACGATCCCGTTGCTGTGGACGGATTATAGCTACACGAATCTTTGTTTCCGAGCCCTGTGATGTGACAAAGTCTATACTCGAATTCTCAATATTGGCATTGCCGTTCTGGATCGTACTGGGCCTGGTGTGATGCGCCATACAGGGGATCTGGATTTGGATCTGGATTTGGATCTGGATCGCCGTCGGCAATGACCACCAGCACAGTCATGGACTCTTCATGGCGCACCATTGCCGTTGCCCATGGCATTGATCTGAGATATACACGGCCATGCCACACACACCAACACCAACCGACAGACACGGCCGTGCGGTGTGCTCGAGAGCTGTCCTTTTCAACACCGTCATGCCCTCGCCGATGCACCGCCGACCGATAGCACACCGAGATTGCACCGCAAAACAAGTTTCACGACAGAGGACTATTGATAATTGAGAGTGAGGCGATCCCTTCGGATTTCCGACCATTACAGCCTTTGACAACAAGCTGTGCTGCCGCTGCCATGTTAGGCCGTTCGCAAAATCAAATGGATGCCCGAGTCCGATTCGACAGGCCCGCTGAGCTCTCCGACTTGCAGGGCAAACCTAAAAACATGGATACCACCAAGCATCAGAACGTCGAGCGCCCAATCGGCCGTTTCAAGCGCATGCCCTTATCCGTCCGTCAGCTCATTGATCACCCATCGTGCTTGATGGCATGATCCTGCAGGACACCACACTGGCTTATTCGTCGACCCAGTTCTCGCACGACGAGCCATCGAGACTCCACTTTGGTCGATACGAACGTGGCGGATTCAAAGGCAGGCTGCATTGCGCCAGGTCCAAAAAACCCAAGATCGCCGTCTTTCTTTGCCGAACTGCAGTCGCTTTCAGTTCGGGCCAGCTGTCCGAGCGTTAGTTCGCCGCTGACGATGCGCTCGCGATAGCCTGAAACAAGTGAATGTTGCATTGAGATAATCAGTGGCAGGGGCGAGAAAGCCGCCCGAAGCTGGCAGGATCTGCTTCCTCAGACACTCAGCCACTACCTTGAATGATTGCATAGGCCTCTTCCTTGGTTCGTGTGATGTTTTCCTGATGGCACCCACGGTAAGTTAGCCAGATAGAACGGGGGCACAATCATGGACCATGTCAAAAGAACAGCATGCCAAGCACTTGACGATGAGTAGAGGGCTCTCTATGGCCAGCTGGTCTAGAGATGAGAGAATTGGCATCCGCAAGCCAGAGCAGGGTCGCTTACTTGTTTCCACGACGACGGACGGCGAGAGTCCCTGTGTTTGACGAGAAGATGCGAGGCACGCACTTCCCCGGCCTTGACGTGGGGCTTGTAAGAGTCATCGGGCTTATCCCACTGACTCTCGCCTGTTTGGCGGTTGAAGTAGTAAGGTCGATCGCGGGATTTTGACCAGCGTTCCTGCGTTGGGCGAAAGACAACCCGACGGCGACGAATGCAGATCCAGAGCGTGATGATGGAAACGAGCACGGGGATGAACAGGGGATGAGAATGGGGATGAGAATGGGGATGAGCAGACTGATCATATTCAGGCGTCCAGAGGTCCGCAGTTTGGTCGTCGTCGTCGCAGGCGGATCGATGCCGTGCAGTTCTCGTCCTGACCTCCCAGGGCGACTCCATTGTGTCGGCGGCTTGTTGCTGGCGATGAGAGGGCAAAGATGCAGAACGGGAACCCAGGGGCCAGAAGCGAGGGTTGGGCACTTGCTCTCGCTCTCGCCTGTTCTCGCCGAGACCTGCAGGGCCAAGACGGCAGCCCAACCCGGCTGAGCGAACGCTCCTCCCGCCCTCTGCATCAACATCCGGCCGATATGGACAAGACGCTGACATATCTTTTGAGCTCAGCAGCCGAGTTTCTGTCTCCGGCAGCGCAGAAACAGCATATCCGTGATGTCTTTGTGCGGTGCTGGACCAAGATCCGCCAGGCGTTCATGAGTTCGGGTGAGTTTCGCCTTTTGGCCAACGGCTTACTCCCCTGGGGACGTGTCTGTGGAGTGCGCATGCGATCATGTCGGCTGTGCTGGAACTGACGACCGAGTGTGCGCCTCCCGTTGCACTGGCTGGGTTCCCAGAGGTCCGCTGCCAAGCGATCGAGGAGATCGCAATCAAGGAGCAGCTCGAGACAATGCTTGAGTGTCTCAGGAGAGAAGAGGCGCTCGAGCGACATCACAGCGAGGACGACGCCACGATGGGGCCTTGTCTCGAATTCATGCTGCAGACGCGGCTGATCGAGACACTGGTCGACTTTGGAGAAACAAACGTACGACGGATAGGCATCCCATGAAAGTCACATTCTTGCCCGGCGCAGCAGAGTGCATGCAACATGGTTCTTACCACACTGTCTGCTGCGCTGCGAATGACTGCAGCTTCCCGAGGGCCTGCTGAATGAGGTCCTCGGCTTTCTCTGCCAGCTCCTCTCGACGCCGTTCTATGCCACCAAGCTCCTGCCTCAAGAGTCAGTTCGTTTGCCCCTCCAGCGGATTGTCCTGGCTGCTCACAATACGCCTTATTGCTTTGAACCCGCAAATCGTGAGCCTCAGGTCGGGGTGCCTGCTGCAGACAAGGGCCATCTGCCGTCGCTCTTCCCACATTCCCATACTGAATCCCGGAGCTCGCTGGCGACCAACACAAGGCAGCTCCCGAGCGATGCTGGTGCTCCAGACACAGCACAGCTCGGCAATCCGCTGCCAACATCTGGTCAAAGCCCCAGTCCACCGGCGTCATCAGACGAGTCGGAATCCACCATAACGCTCATGCTAATGCTGATCGTCCTCGTACTTGAGCATATACAAAAAGTCCCTATATTTATGGAACTATTCTTTGGACTGCTCAAAATTTGCGATGAGCCTCAGGACCAGCTCGAAGCAGAACGCACCATTCGCGAGCACTTTCTTGTTGGCGTGCCCCTCGGCTACATATCGCGATCCGACGACATCGGTCGACTCGCCCGGGATGCCTTGAAGCTTCTCAACTCGATCTTGATTGAGGCAGGGGCAACCCGCATCAGCATGGCTCAGTACATTCACTTGCCTTCACTGTGCAAGATACTGGTCTGTATACTGAGTCCAGTCTGTTGTCGTACTTGCTTCCATATCTGCCTTGTTCTCGGGATGGCCCGGTTTCATACTCAAAATCCGGTGGCAGGGATGCCCGAGGCGAAGTCGGCGACCGATAAAGACAATCATGTGGTCATCTGTCGGTATCTCTGACGCGCACTCAAGCATGCTCCTTATTGCTGGTTGACATTTCTCTCAGATGAATGACATTTCCGAGCAGTACCTGCAGCAAATCAAATCCAGTAGCTTGCCACCAGCCGATAGCGCGATCGCGGCGGATTCAGCAACGTCGAGCCCCATGTTCGACATGCTCCATATCCCGGTGTGGAATATTATCAACGAAATAATGAACGAAAACCACTCTGTAAGTACCCGGCTAGAGCGAGATTGCTTGAGCCAGGTTGAGATTACTTCGGCGTGATAACATGTACATAACATTACAAAGCAATTCAAGGAAGTCATTCGCGAGAACCTCGTGTCTTTTTGGGACCACAAACTTGGCGTTGGAATATGCAGCAAGTATGTGGACAGTCAGCGCATCAGAGAGGGGCCGCAGAGCTAGCATCCGCAGCTGCCGCCTCTTCTTGCTCAAAGCGAGACGCCAGATTAATGCAGTTCAAACTTCCACAGCGACCTCACCACAGCCAAGATAGCAATGCTCTTCATGAGGGACATGTTGAAATATACGTGGTCCAAAGATCTGCAGTCGCTCCTTGTGGGCTGCTTGACTGACGCAAACGAAGCCGCCGGAGTCTCCGCTCTTTCTGGGCACATCGGCCGCGGCTCGTCCGAGGTTTGTGTTATGCCAACCCAAGCTGAACCTTGCACTGAGGGGTACAGCCATAGCGACAGAGCTGATGTGATGATGGATTGACTGTGATTACAAACTGCTCCCGGTTGCCCTATCGATGCACGACCATATGCCGATTCCAGAATGTTGACTCTGCAATGCTACCTTCGTCGTGCCCCAGTTGATGGAGGCAGCACTATCGCTTCTTTACTACCTACTATCAACAGATCACGGCGCTGTCACCACCATGCTGGCGACGCCGGAGAGGTCACTGCAGTGGGACTTGGAAGCATCCGACTCTGTTTCGCCGTCAATGACGCTTGAGAGCGCACTCTACCAGTAAGAGTCCCGTTTTTGTTTTGTTATCTTGAGCCCAGTAGTCGCCTCGATGCGTCCTCCGAAGCCAAACCAGCTGCATATTCGATGCTCAAATGCGGCCGGCCTGGAATGATACTCTACTGTTTCCTTTGCATCGACGGTTGTATGGCCGACAAATCCCACGGTTAATTAAACTGACGGATACGCTCTCTATGCAGTCTCTTCCAAGTCGCGCACATTGTCAACCGCAAAGAGCATGTCGAAGCGATGCAAGCCCCCGACATCATACCTCTCACCCGCATTTTTGAGCAATGTTTTTCCAGAGACACAAGCTCGGCCACGATATTTGCGCCAGTCTCACGCCAGTGCATGCTTCCGAAGCATCTTTCTGGCTGGCAGCTTCGCTCTGTCGGAAACGAGCTCCTTTCAAATGTGCTACTTACATTGCATCAGTTTCCGACGCTTTCGTACAACAGCCAAGTGCTGCTGACAAGCTCTATTCTCGTGATTGCTCGGCTTCGGCTGGGTCGAGAACGCTCAAGGACATCGAGTCAGACATCGCTTTGCCAGAAGCAGAGCCGCGAAGCCAAGACACCATTGATAGACCCATATATTTGCAACCTGATATGTACCTTGGAGATGGTGCGTTCGACGGCAGTCGATCACGATATGTCAGCCCGGACTCGGCCTTGCTCTTGAATCGGAAGAGTTCCGCAGCATTTCCATGTATCTAACGGTTTATCATCGGCCAACGACTCGCCTTTAGATTCATGAAAAGTTCACCGTCTACATCATCGAAGACAACATATTGGATGTTCAAGCCAAGATGGAGAGAATCAAGAGCGATATCGGCTCTGGGCCCATCAACAGCCGCCAACCGACCGAGAGACAGCATAGTCGGAAAGGAGATGCGCCGCATTTGTCGGCCCTGCCCACCGTTCGACCGTCGGACCTGCAGAGTTCCGAGACGAGACAGCCACCTCGACCGGTGGTGCCGACACCTTCGGGCCGTGGCCGGCGCTCCTCGTTCTTTGTCCGTCGCCCGCCTCGTACCCACGAAAACGAAACCAAGGTCCTGCGCTCATGTTTGGTCCTCCGTGAGTTTGCCGTTGAGCTTTCGGAAGTTCTGTTCATCAATCAGCGAGCCAGCAACTTCATGCCGGAGGACGATTCGGTTGATTGGTAGGCTGTGACTGTAGTATCGAAAGTTGGTTGGTCCAGCCCGAAGCGCCCGTGCTCGACTCTTCCGGGCAAAGCGAGGTGCGAAGGAGCGTCTGGCCCATCACCCTGATTACTCCACGACGTCACCAATGAGAAATTAAGACAGGTGGTATTCGCTCTTATGAAAATAGAACTCGTGTTATTCGACTGGAAGAGTTATATTATGACTGGAGCTTATTCGTCGAGTGAGCCCGATACCCTTCGTTTGTGGCTGCTGCCAGTGCCAGGCGGGCCCCGGGAGCGCGGATACGCCTCCGAGGAGCCAGGTCGCTCATATTTGCGTCGAGAAAATAGGGGCTTGACCCACTGGTCATCAAAATTTATGAACCAATGCGGTGCCGAGCGCTCGGTCGCGATAGGGGGCCCATCCGACAGGGGCTGGGAGGACGCGTAGCTTGAGACCGACGAACGTGGAGCAAACGATGCCAGCGGGTGCTCGTCCTCATATTCGTATCGATAGCCAGAGTCGTCATCGTCATCTTCAAAACCGTCGACGCTTGAGTCTGTAGCATCGTCTATGTCGTCAGCGAGGGCATGATTTCTCTTGGGGCCGACATCTGTTTCGATTTTCAGTCGTTCGAGGGCATAGTTTGTGGTACCGCCAAGAATCAACACGCTAATGACACATACGACCAGAGTCGTTGAGCGAATGATGTCTCCGGCTTTACCGGTGACTTCAAAGGCAAGGGCAAAGGCGATGGCACCACGGAGACCGGCCCACCACATCATCCATTGGTGGTTCTTTGGAAGGTGGTTCACTTTCCCGTAGAGTCGATATGTGACCGAGTTGACCAGCCAGGCTAGAGGCACCGTTGAGATGTAGCGAGCCACCAGCAATATGATCTAGTGGTTTACGATTTGCGACGAGCGCGGCGAGTCATCGTTCCTGTCAACATCGGTGGCAACCCCGCTGCCCTATTTGATTGGTGCCCACAGGGCCGACATCCAATTACACCAAGCCGATATGCTGTTGCGTTGTCGAATCGAGGCGAGCCTCCAATAGCGTCGGAATTGCCGTGGCACGGGAGCAAGATCTCGGCCAATTCGGAGACGCTTCACTCACCAGGATCAAAACGATCAGGACCGGCAGGAAAATAGAGTCTGATCGGGTAAAGATCGATATTCCCAGGTAGATAAAGACAAAGTTTTCACTCATCTGGGAAAGCACCCGAAACATGTACTTTGTGGTCCGTCTCGAACGCAGGCTGAGATTGTCGTACGCATAGTGCTTGAGAGTGATGCCACAGAACAGCAGCGAAACTATTCCAGACAGGTGACAGCCGTTGGAGAGCAGATACGAGGCATATGCCAAGAGCAACACCATGCACGACTCTAGCGACGGATACTCAAACAGCTGCGAGTGCTTGAGCATGAGAGTGCAAATCAAAGCCATGATGACGCCTATCATGAGCGATCCAAAAAATAGAGCCGAAAACGACCCAATTCCATAGAAAATGCTAGAGAGTGAGAAGGCGGAATCGCTGTTGAAGTTGGAGAGGGTGCTGCGAACGTGGCAAAGGGGAAAAGATACAATCGTAAGGATCCACTCTGGTTGCCTCGACTAGCCCCGATTCGCATTGGCGCCGCCCAGCCGCACGAGCGAAGGCACACGATTTGACATACGTGAAGAGTGCGATGGCAACCGAGTCGTTCAGGAGACTTTCGCCAAAGATGATCGCATAGAGCTGGGGATCGACTCTGCGCTGATGGAAGATGGCCAGGACTGTCACCGGATCCGTTGACGACAAGATGGCTCCGAAGACGAGACAGTCGAGTAGGGACAACCCCAGTGCGTGGATGCCAGTCAGCGCAACCAGGTAAATCATGATCCTGAGCAACGATATCGTGGGAGGAGGAGGCAAGGAGTGAGCACAGGTCAGCCACACACAGCTGGGGCACGGCTTCCGGCCCCATCTCTTGTGACTGTTGGACGGGTCCTCGTTCTTTGTAGCCGAGAAGGTCACATACCCAATGACAAGTGTAGATATAAAGGTTCCCAGGAATGCAAAGGTCAGAATCGATCCAAAGTTGCGGAAGAAACGCTCCTGTGATTGAGCCAGAGAGAGGCGTGCGGACAGCAGTCCGAGTTAGCACTGCGCTGTGGATCATCGTTCCACTGTCGCTTTGCACGAGGACATGGCCGTGCGGCTGCAGCTTGCAATCGGCGCTCCGCTGCCATCAACCAGACCCGTATGGATCAAATCGCGTCACCGCTTTGCTGGGCCGTACCCGTTTCATGTCGTATCCAGAGTTAAGAATGATTGGTGGCAGAAGCAGATTGAAAAAGTACCGATGATCAAACGAAACGATTTCTTGAAGCCCCTCGACTGAAAGACGTGGTTCAGGCACATGCAGGGTCAGTGTCAGCTTGGCTTGGGTGCAGCAAACCCGATCGAGGAGGCACGATGGAGCACCAAGGTTTCAACGTGTGCTGCCGGTCGGGGGAGATGCTTGAAAATCACGGCGAGATGCTTGAAAACCACGGCGAGATGCAGGCACATCAACGACACGGCTTTGCACAACATGGCTTACATGAAGAGAGCTTGATGAAGAGGCCAACAACCAGACCGAGGATCAAGGAGACAACCGTCTCATGGATGAATCGGATTTGGTTGCGTTGCAGCAGATACGATATCAGCACAATCGCGAGGAGCAAGACGATGAGGATAAGAAGCGCCCATGTCGTCAGCAACTCGGACTGTGACCCAAGAGTGCTCGCATCGGGAACTGGTGTGTACTGCGACTCGGGAGGATCCATGACGACGAGCGACTGCCAGATGAGTATTTCGCGGCAATGCTGCTTGAGTAATCAGCAAGGCCGAGGTAGTGTCTCGATAAATTCTGCCCTTGCAGATGTGTCGTCTCGGGATTGGTATCTGGGTTAAGTGGCCAGAGGAGTTTGGAAAGCGCCACGACGAGTGCTTCCGAGCATTCGCGAGCGATTGGCTGGCCCGTGGATGTGGTTGAAGAGCCACCGGGTGGCAGATTCCAGAGGGCCTGGGCTGGAAACGGTCAGCTCTTTGGTGAGGCGAGGCGAAACAGATCGCCTGGGGCAATCTCGGCAGGCAACTGATCGTCGGGACAGACGGCAGGGCGGTGTGTTGGGAGACTGATGATGCAAAGGAGACAGCACGGCGAATGAAGGACGAGCGGAAATGCCCAGGACGACAGCACGCCGAGAAGCGAGAGCACGCCGAGAAGCGAGAGCACGCCGAGAAGCGGATCCAGCCAGGGCGGATCCAGCCAGGGCGGATCCAGCCAGGGCGGACTGTTCGGCGGATCTGGCCTGATCTTGCCTGATCTTGCCTGGTCCGGATCGATCTGGTCGGCATCGATCTGGTGATATCCCCCATCTGCAATCCGGCGCCAGCTTCCCCTCTGCACTGGACATATCCGTTTATCACCACCACCCGAATGGTCGACGCATCAGAGCCCGCGGAACAGAAGCGCCCCCAGCCCGAGGACCCGGACGACGATGCGCCTGTTGTCGCCAAGCGGCCGAGACAGGCGCCTGCCAAACCCATCAAGGGTCTGTTTCTCGACACTGTCAACAGGCACATGCTTGACTTTGATTTCGAGAAGCTGTGCTCTGTATCGCTCTCCAACCTCAATGTCTATGCCTGCCTCGTCTGTGGCAGGTATTTCCAAGGTACGTCACCCCACTGTCTCCAGCCATCCCGAAGTCTTCGAAGGCCGTCGACTCGCAGGCCACGGTTTGTGCTGCGATCTCGAAAGCACTCTCCAGTGCGTCGCTGTAAATCATGCGACCTGCTAGGACCAACTGGGCTAACAGTATTGATCCGGAAGGACGGGGCAAGGCGTCGCACGCCTACTTTCACAGCCTGCACGAGGATCACCATGTCTTTATCCATCTCGAGAACCTCAGGATATATATCCTGCCAGATGGGTACGAAGAGACAGAGGCGTCTCTCAACGACATCAAGGTAAGAAACTGCAGCCGCGTGCTACGACTGCATAGTCCAGAAGGTGACAACGTCTCCCTCGCTTGTGCTCATTGCCGCCATGTGATGTAGTACGTCTTGAAGCCTACCTTCACCAAGGAGCAGATTCAGTCGCTCGATAGCTCCGAAAGGTACTCCTACGATTTAAACAACAAGCCATATCTCCCAGGTAAGTTGCGGCTCCTTCTCTTGATCGTTGCTCCGGTTTAGGTAGCTGTTGCCGTCATAGCTGCGCGCGGGGCTGCGCTCTTTATACTCGAATGCAAAAATGCGGACCGGTAATCCAAATTGCTCGATCACAAGGGTTTGTCGGACTCAACAACATCAAAGCCAACGACTATGTCAACACCGCCATTCACGCCCTGGCACATATCAAACCGCTGCGAGACTTTTTCCTCCTCGGGGATTTGCCGGAAAGCTCGGAGCTTGGTATGGCGAGCGCAAAACCACTGCGGCACCCAAAGTGGGCGATCTGGCTGCTTGTGCAGCGCCATGGCGGGCACTTGCAATTATCGATCCGTATATCGCGGCCAGTCATTGACAAAGCACACATACCCGCACTCGACCGACTTAGCCCGGAGATTTGGCATTCTTGTCCGGCGAATCTGGAATCCTCGAGCCTTCAAGGGCCAAGTGAGCCCCCACGAATTCTTGCAGGTAATCATCTCTCCGTTTCCCGCGATGACCTGAATGAAACTCCCAGGAAAGTAGAATATCCATCTTCACACTCTTGCTAATGACACACGATGGCCTGCAGGAAATGGCGAACTCGAGTCAAAAGAGGTTTACTCTGACCAAGCAGATGGACCCCATCGACTTTATAGTCTGGTTCCTCAACACACTCCACACCGATCTCGGCGGCAAGAAGAGCGGTAGTAAAAGTCAGTTCCACCCAGTGCGATGCGGTCGACTCGCGTGCATGAGCGACCGACGAAAATGGCCCTCAGGCTGGCCGTGCTAGCATAGGCCAAGCAACATTGACCAAGTATGCTCATGTCACTCGCTCGGCTCCCTGATGCAGGCATCGTGCACAATACTTTCCAGGGTCAGCTCCGGATCGAAACCCAAGAGATCGTGGCAAGCGAAGACAACAGTCAAGCAAAGGTCTTTGACCTCAACCGAGGTGAGAGCAGCGCAGTTCGACTTGGCCCATCGTATGGCTGGTGCCGGCGTCGTATTGAGGGCGCTACGCTGCGAATCAAGATGAGAATGGCACGAGTAACGCCTTTTCTTTTTGTATCTTCCCAGAGATCAAAGTATCGCATGTGCCCTTCATGTTCCTGACACTGGACCTGCCGCCGCCTCCGTTGTTCCAAGACGAAATCGAAAAGAACATTATCCCGCAAGTGCCTCTGTCGATGCTCATTCAGAAATATGATGGCGTCGCTGGACAGGTGCGTATGTTTCTGCGAGTCAGGGCAGGTGTCTCCAGAGACGGCAGATGCAAGGATGACACTAGGCCCTGCAGAGTCAGTCCGACTGTTGCCCCTCAGAGGGGATGGCCATGCGATCGCGCTTGCATGCAAAAGAATCAACCATGGCGTTTGATTCCTACATACCGCAGGAGCAAGGTAAAACGCTGAGGCGCTTCAAGATCACCAAGCTCCCTCAATTCTTGATCTTCCATATAAAACGATTTACAAAGAACAACTGGGACCTCGAAAAGAACCCAACGATCGTCACATTTCCGATCCGAAACGTCGATATGAGCGAGTGTAGGCGCCGGCGGATGCACAGCAGGATCGCTTGCTGGAGGAAAGGGAACGCGGCTGATCCGGACCTTGCATCAAATCATAGGCTACGAAGGAGATACCGGTGTTGAAACTCGATACGATCTTGTGGCGAACATCTGCCACGAGGGCAAGCCGGGCTCGGGCAGTGGAACATACAAGGTGCATGTGTATTGCAAAGGCAAGGATCAGTGGTTCCAAATTCAAGACCTGATCGTCGAAGAAATCATGCCGCAGATGATTTTCCTGTCGGAGTCGTATATCCAGGTATGGCTGCTGTCGCCGGCAATATCAGGCATGGGACAAGCCACCATCTATGCTGGATCAATCGCCGTCACCGCGCTGCTGTTGACGGACTCCTTGGATACTGACTGTACACGAACGACGTGCCGTGTTTGCAGGTATGGGGCCGCCGAGAACCCGAAGGCGAAGACATGTCCCACTGATCCCGAACGAACCCAGTCAGGCCTGGCCGGTCGCCGAGCACTGCTTGCCAGGAACACGTATGCCGGACTTTTCGATTGTGCTGTCGTCCTGGGCCGTGCGATTTGGTTTGAGTCCTGGCTGGCAATCCCTTTGACTTGGTTGGTTTCAGGAGTGTGGTGCATGTGTGGTGCATTCACTCGACCCTCTGGACAGCCCCGTGGGTTCTCAATATCAATATACACAGCCTTCTCTTGGTTGGTCTCGTCTGGAGGCGACCCTTGTCATGGGATGGGAATCTCGTGGCAGCCACAGCCATAGCCACAGCCACAGCCGCCCCACAAGACCAAGACCAGCGGGCACTTCCCCTTTCGCCCCCATTCCCCCACATCGTTGGAGCGCCCTCGTCAGGAGACAAACAGCCGCCATGGTCTCGGAACAGGTGCGGGCTATCCAAATCGTAAGCGCCGTCAACTCTGCCGGCGAGTCCGTCGCGCAGACAACCCCGGGCGCCGCTGTGCTGATCGTCCCAGCGACCATCAAAGTCTCACTCGACTGCGACGTCCGAGACATTCACGTCTCCTTTGGTAATGCAACAGGATCCAGCGGATGCAGCGAGAGGCGCTGTTGTCGGTGCAGGGTGCCATCGACCGGACCGCCTTTCTCCTGTGGTCCAAATCTGATCTCCATTTCCGGTACAGGGGTCGAAGGAACCATCGCTGCAACATGGTACGAGGACGGCCCTCGGCTGCTCTGCAAGCCCTTCTTCAGCAGCGGCGTGGTTGTCTACGACTCAACCGCTTCCGGCCCGCTTTCGGCAGGCACACATGGGTTTCCGGCCAAGCTTCAGCTGCCACTCGCTCAGACACCGCCGACGTTCGATTACGGCAACATCCGCATCAGCTACAAACTCAAGGCGATAGCTGTGTGGACCAGACCGAGCAACATCATGACCAAGCTCGGGCAGAGCCCCAGCGCAAGCGGCACCCCCGTGCGCTCCAGAAGCACCGAGCGGTCGATGCTCATCCTTCCAGGCGACCATGCGCAGATGCTGGCCAACCGGCGATGCCTGACCTTCAGTGCAGCCGTGCGGGTGCCTGACGAGCCAGCCCCGTTCAAGTACCTGGCATCGCTGCAGCGCAACGTCGTCATGCCTGGTGACAACATTGTCGTGCAGCTCACTTGCCAACACGACGATGGAAAGATTGCCATGGTGGTCATGAGCATGATCTTGCGAATTGCCATCCGGGATGCCGAGGACCGCAGCTTTGTCGAGGAAACCCGCTTGGGCGAGCGGACCCGGACGACCCGCTGGAATGCACTGGAGACCAAAAACCTCCACGGCATCGTGCCGGCCACGGCCATCCCGTCGCTCCAGTCGAGCGACGTTCAGGTCCAGTATGAAGTACGGATCAAGCTGTTCACGACGCTCTCCAATCACCCGATTGTCGACCTGCGCATCCCCATCCGGGTCATCCCGCCGACCGTCAAGACCCTCCCAAACGAGCCTGTGCAGATCCCCCTGCTGCCTCGGCTGCAGTCGCAGATCAGAAGCAGCCCCCTGCCGACGGCCTCAGCCGAGTCTGAGGTCTATGAGGTCGCCTACCCATACGTACCGAGGCGTCCCGACGAAGTTCCCTTGGACTGCGGAGATGTGGTCGTTGTCGTCCATATCTACGACGACCTGTGGGTCGAGATCGAGAACAGGGCCAAACAGATGGCGGGCGTCTGCCCTCTGCATCACTTGAAGCGAGTCTTTGACAACACCATGGCTGCACGCGCCTGGATCCGCATCGTCGAGCTGGAGGGTCCACCCGAGCCAGCCGCCCAGCCGGACGCCGAGCCGGACGCCGAGCCGGTCGTCGAGCCTGGCACTGCTTCCGAGGCAGCGCCTGTTTCGACCATGAACCGCAAATCGTCGATGCAGCGGCACTTTGATTTCTTGAAGAGCAACCGCAAAAGTTCGCTCCCCGCCAGATTGAAGACGGCCTGAGCGGCGCCCGTGAACTGACGCTGTCGCCATCAGGGCTGCCTCCTTCCTCGATGCTCAGCAGCGAGTCTCTTCTGATACTTTCTTTTGTTCCTCCTTCTGTCCTTCCTTCTGTCCTTCCTTCTGTCCTTCCTTCTGTCCTTCCTTCTGTCCTTCCCCCTGTCCGCCTCATTTCTTCCCTGTATCCTATGCGCTATTCCTTGTGCTCTACTGTATGTGTATGTGTATGTGTGTGGTCCTGTCTCATCTGCGTTCTGTTGCAGCGGCGCCCTGCTTCATCAGCGTCTGCCTCATACTTGTCGTGCGGCATCAGCGTCGCTCTCTTGCAGAGTTTCAGCGGCACGGTTGACGGATTCTCTCAGCCATGAAATGTATTCTTATTGACAAATGCGTAGAGTCAGCTTCGCTTCAGATCAAACTCTAGTATCGCGACTTGTAGTTAAACTGTTGCACGGACGGTTCAGAAGGCAGTGGACCAGATCCCAAGGATTAGTGTCTGTGTGTACTGAGTGTGCTGTACAATCTTGAGACTAAAGGAGCCGGTTCTTACCTTCATCTTGATCAAGTACCGGACCTTGATCTGGGCAACGTCGTAGACAATGAACTCTGTTTTTCGCATTCCCCAGAGACCAGGATTCTCTATATTAGCTGGGCTGCAGCAAGAACTCGGCGCGACCAGCCGGTCAAGACCGGGGGGGCAAACTTGCTCCATGCAGTCCGTGCCTTCCCTCCCCCATAGTCATGACAAGTCACCGCACGCTTACCGTTATAGAGCAAGTGGCCCTTGACGTTGGTGCTTACACCCTTGCCACACGGCACTTGGACACCATCCGGCAGCGTAACCGTTGATTTGGGATCGGGGGCGGTGCCGCCACATCCCTTGGTCGAGTGGGCGTTGTTGTTCTTGCGGTTCTGGTCGGCATTATAGTCGGAATGGAGCAGCTCGTTCTCCTTGCCCAGTGCGACCTCACACAACAGAAGCACGCCCGTGTTCTGCGACGACGACGTGAAGCAATAGTTGGCCGATTTCGAGACCATATCGGCAAAGTAGACACCCTTGCCGAACATGTAGCCGGTCACAGGCGCTTCGGGCGGGGCGATGCGCAGGCCCTGGCTCAAGATGCCCACAAAGTTGGTGAGGCGAGAACCATGCCACAGAAGCTTGCGGTTGGTGCCGACCTCCTTGTCCTCTGCCATCTTGCTCTTGAACCGATCCTCTTCGCCGTCGCGCGCAACCTCGAAAACATCGAGGACCTCGAGATTGTACTGGTTGTGGGTTGCAGCATGGGTGTTTTGCGTGTACTTGTCGATAAGGGACCAGGTTTCGGAGTCGCGGTCCACGGGCGTGAGCCCGCACTTGAGCGAATGGTACTTTGCGTCGATGGGATTTTCGTCGAGGTTGTTCTGTGCGGTCTTGAGCACAGTCTGGGCAATCTGGATATCGCCAAGGGCCTCGACCATCTCGAGCTTTTGTTTCAGGAGGGGGCCGTTGTTGATCACCGGCGGTATTTGGCGCCCGCTAAACGCATGCGGAATAATGGTGTCTGCAAAGCCAGAAGACGACAGACGGCAGAAGGGGATGAGTGGCGGTGTCGTCGGCCTCGGAAAATCGCAAAGATCTATGCGCTGATGGCAGCGAGCTTCTGTTGCTGAGCACAGCGGCAAGCCTCCAGTGACTTACAGAAGGACGAACTGAGGCTGGTCAGGACGTTGTTGCGCTTGGCACCCTCCATCTCGGCAGCGATTTGCTTCAGGACTTCGTAGCCCTTGGCGATATTGTCCTTGGTGAGCTTGCCAAGGGGCATTTTCTTGGCTAAATGGCGGGGCAGATGTCAGTCGCCAGTCAATATCACATGTTTAGTAAGGTAGAGCGACGGATCCGAAAACCAGCCTACCGTCGTAGCCAATCTCGATCATGGCCTTGGTCATCATCTCGAGGTTGCTGATGAGACCGACGAGGTCCTGGACACGCTTGTCCAGTTTGGAATCAGGGATCTTCACAGGCGATTTGTTGGCTTTGTCGAGTTCTTCCTTGGTTTGCTCATCGTCGTCACCAAAGTCTCTCTCGATCAAAAAGTACTGGTTGATGCGGAGACACAAGGGGAGAACAGAGCGACGTCAGCGCAGACATTGAACGCGCCATGCACACCCCAAGGCACATGAGTCTCAACGGGCCGGCATACAACGCCGTCCTCCCACTCTCCCTGGTGAGCAAGATGATTGTTTGGTGAAGAAAAATCGACGCCACAGCACAGCATCTCTGTTACCTTTCCAGGAACCTTTGTGAACTTTGCTCGGTTCGCCCACTGATTGCGAGTCTTGTCGCTGAACTTGGACTCGAACATAGCGATGGCTCCGGTTCGCGATGTCGCAACATGCTTGCTTTGGCCCACAGCGCCAACGCGGCCCCAGCGGTTCCAGAAATAGTACTGCTCGGAGTTGTCATCTTTGAGGACCTGGATGATGTAGAACTTATTGTTGTTGTTGGCGATCTCGGTCTGGTTCAGCATGGCATCTGTTTGGCGTTGCAATGGGTGAGAACCGAGCATGGGCAGTCTGGAAGTCTGGCAGGCGGTTGATGTCGTGCCGATCCGGAAGAAGCTGCTTTCGGGCTGTCCAGCCGTACCGTTGCACTCGATCACCACCGTCTCATTCATATCCTGAGAGCACCCTCCCTCCCCCGGAACTCACCGTAGACGATACCGTCGGCTTCGAGAACGTGTGTGCGACTGGCAAAGGGAAACACCGAGTCGACGGCCTGTCGAGAACATCAATGGCAACCCGCGCACATACAAATGCATCAGATCGGGCTCCGGAGCAGAGACCCACCCGTGCAAGCGTCAAGGGAGCATCCTCGCGCTGCATATGGCTCAAATCAAGCGAATACTCACGGCCCGGCCTTTCTTGATGACCTTGACCAACTTGACCTCTTCTTCGACGGCCATTGCGGCATCTTTGCCATCGATCTTGGCGTCTTTGTCTTCGGACTTGGCGTCGGCACTGTCATCGCTGCTGGTCTTGAGGCGCTTGCTTCGGGACGGGCGACTATCTTTGGCATCCGTATCCGCGGCTTTGGCATCCTTGACATCGGGCGTCGCCTTGGAAGCATCAGCAGTTGCAGCGGCATCGTCATCGGCATCGTCGTCTGCAGGACGCTTCTTGGAGCCAGATGCGGTAGAGCCTGCTGAATCTTTGGGATCGTGCAGAGCCGGGGCCTTGGGCGACAGCTTGTATGTGCCGTCGTCGAGCTTGGTGCCTTTCTCTGCAGATTCCTTGATAAAGAGGGGTGAAACGATGGTGACATCTGGGCGTTCCAGAGCCTGGCGGATCTTGGCGCTCTGCTTGGGCGCATCCAACTCGTCCTGCGTTGCGATCAGGTAGGTGACCTTCTTGGTGAGGGATGCGGCCACGGTCCCAGCACGAGATGCGATGACCGTGGCCAGATTGTCGGGAAGCTTGGCGGCCTCGGGACTCAGGGCAAAGACAAGCGATTCAAAGATGGCCGGGGGAGCAGCATCGGCATCGGCATCGGCATCCTTGGCAGCTCTGGCGGATCGTCTTGGAGGCATTTCTGAGGAGGGAAGGACGGTACGGGAAAGGTGTAGACGAGACGAGGGGGGCGAATGAAGGAGACGAAATCGACAAGATCTGCGATCGCGGAGGGCAAAGCGGGACAGGTGCCGAGACACAGGCGCAGCGAGGGAGCGGCAAAGACGGTAGTGAGGGGCGACGGTGGGTGCGATCGCGGCGGACGGGGCTTTTTATGTACGGGGGGTCAATGCAAAGCAGCGACTCGGCAACGGGGGCAAACACAGCACACAAACAAATCGGGCAGAGCCAAGCAGAACACAAACAGGCGGTGCTTTGAACAAAGCAACCGCCCCGGCGGATGTATGGATTGATACGCAGCGGAGTGAAGGATGTGGTAAAGTGATAGTACACATTGATGGAGTGATAGATACACATTGATGGATGTGCAGTGGAGTGATAGTACACATTGATGGAGTGATAGATACACATTGATGGATGTGAGGTGCAGTGTGGCATCCTGGATATATGCAATGGAGTGATGGGGCAGCTATGAACCCATCACTGATGCACTCCGGCTCCAGTCCAGCGCAATCGCCGTCGCCATTGTTTCGCTTCGGCTCCCCCCCCCCGATCACAGATCGCACCACCATCCCTCGCCTCTATTTCCGTGGGAAGCGATCCGCCGCAACGCCGGGTGCATCCTGGGCAGCCATCCGAGCTTGAATTTGTCGCCATGGCCCGCTCAATGGCATCCGACCGTCGATACCGCTCGCTGCCTGAGCTGCGTGCGGTTCCCAAAACATCGTCGCCGTGGCGGTCGATGGTGGGAAAGGCCCAAGCGCTGGGCTCTGGTCCCATTCCTGGCCAAAAGACGAAACGGCTGCTGCCTCTGGCCCACTCTCTCGAGGAGCGCATCGATAAACTGATCGAGGCGAGCATCGTCCCGCACAAGATCGAGGCAGAAAAGACCCCGCTCCCCGTCATCGCGCCGGGATCAAGAGGCCCTGGAACCATGCAAAAGAAGCTGATCGAACAGAGGTACGGACGCTGCTTCTCGCATGTCTTGACAGCGGCGCTGCAGCTGGCCTGCTGTCGGGCAAAACACTCCCATTCCGGTTCCGATGTCGCTGCTCATGAGCGGCGCGGCCTCCGTGTCTCACACCAACAGATTCCAGCAAACCAGCTCAAAATACAAATCCCGGCTGGACCAACTCGTTGCCGAATTCAAGCAGTCGAACGTCCAAATCGTAAATCAGTTCAAGGAAACCTGGACGGCGGGCCGCTCTCGTATGGACTGTGTTGCTGCATTCGTGCCATCATTTACACCGATGCTTCGACTCCAAAGCTTTCGCCGTGTCCTTGCCTCTGACCTATATATACACACACACCCTTCTCGAGCAGGTCTTGAGGAAATCTTGGCTCTAATCGATACCGACAAACTGTCCAGGCTGGTTGCCGACGACTTTGAGCATCTCAAGAAGCTCTCGCATGAATTGTCCGGGCATCGGCAGGCCATGATCGAGATTCTGGAAAACAATTTTGATAGCTTCAGACGCACCTTTACCGAAAAGTCGTCAAAGCTCCTCCTGGAATACGGAAACGAACTACACAAAATCTACTACCAGGTTCCCAGTCTGGTCGCTCGCATTGTTCAGGTATGCGGCGGGACACGAGATCCAGGCGGCCGTGCGCGGTGTGTAAGCGAAACGGGGCTGGCCGACGAGGAAAGAGCGTCGATAAGGATGGAAATTGCAGGAGGAGTATCAGGAGCGAGCCAGGTTGCATGCCCATAACGGTCGAGAGGGCAACGGCACAGACATGCACACGGATGCCGACATGCGCACTGATGCCGACATGCCCAACAGGAGGAAACCATCCTGGCCGATAGCCGCCTGCTTGAGACTTCTGAAACAATGCTCAAGTACGTCACCGTCATGAGGAGCATCAACGTCGACATTGACAGGCAATTCAGTGATATCCTGTTGGAGTGCAAAGAAGCTTGGAAGAACATGCGTGTCAAGTTTCTCTTTGAGCAGCACTTTGAGTGCGTGAGAACCCTCCAAGACATTGACTTTGACAAGTTCTACGGGCACGCACAAGCATTTATGAGCCAGCAGTTTGATCAGCAAAAAGAGCTGGTAACGCAGGCGCCAAAGCCCTTCGAGCACGCTTGGAAGCAGATTTGGTTGGGATAGAGTGATCTCACATGCCCATCGACCGCGGCTCGGTTTGCGCAATAGCTTAACAGGATCGCCGAAACTGCAGCCGAGAATCTCACACTCGAATGGGTCAACACCTGGAGGGCATCAAACTTGGGGACATACCATAAAATAGAAGACTCGGCTCGTCTCTTTCAGCACAATGTGGGCCACATGGAGCAGACCATTGAAAAAAGCTGCCAAGAGAGCATGAAGAAGCACAAGAAACTGATTGTCAGCTGCGGAATCGAAAGCACGACCGAACTGGAAAGTCGATTGGAAGGTAGACCGCCCACACCTCCTCTCCCCTTAGCCTGGCATATGTTCAGCTAGCCCCACACTCAACCACCCCACTCGTCCCCCTCCCCGCTCCCTTCAGAGCCTGTAAAAAAGTTCAAGAAAACGAGTCAGTTTCTCGCCGGCAAGCGTGCTGCCATGATGCTCATCAGTCAGGCTGGAAGAAATCGCGATGTGCTTATGGTCGTCGCCGATATCATGGCCTGTATTCTGAGCATAAAGGGAGAGCAAAAGGTACGTCAGCACACCCGGCGTCTGTGGCCGGCACCATTTGCGTGCGACTCTTGCAAACAGCTTTGAATCAAGCTTACACTCTCCTCGGCTCGCTCAGGCCAAGCTTGTCACCCTCGAAGACGAGATACAGTCTCGTCTCCGAGACATGCATGGGATCTATGTTTGTGATTATCGGTGGTTTGAGAAGCAGCTTTTCCACGAAGTCGAGCGAATGAAAAAGGAGGACAGCGAAATCGGCGTCTACCAGCGCCTTATGAACGCCAACAAGCTCCTGGATTCGATCGAAGAAGGTGGGCGTCCGGCACGGCCCTCCATTCTACATGTCGCCGACTCATTCGTCCATCGCTATCAGCCCAGCGAGGCTTCCACTCCAGAGGCGTGATTGTCATCCACACCCTGCTCGAAAACGTCCAGCGCCTATTTACCAAGTTTCGCGACCAGGTGTGTATCACTAGACAACTTTGAGCACATGTGACCTAAAGCTGACTTCAGGTTTCTTGCCTAGATGAGTGCTTTCCTTGACGTCGTTCCGTATCTGGAAGAATCTTCCTCCGGGCTTCAGTCCAAGGGAAACAAGGGCAAGGGTAGGCATGCGGTGACGCCGCTGTAAGTGCATCTCGGCTCGATGCACACAATTAGTGCTTGTTGTGACCCGCCGCTTCCATGACCTCGATGGCAGTATCCTTCAACGACGATGCCGGCAGCAAAGTCAAGGCCCCAGTAAAATCGCGTATGCTTGAAAATGCCCTGTACTTGATGCATTGTGCAGAGCGTTGCGTGTCGCTCATGGACGCCACATGGGATGTGAAACTTGCGTAGTTTAGCAGGGCCGCTGAAGGCCGCTGAGGGCCGCTGAGACACAATCGGCGCTCGAGAGGCTGTCCTGGCTTCGCTAACAGGGATTGTGGTTGCATGGACAATCGACTTTGCTCCGCCCCCGACAGCGGTCAACACTTCCGGCATCACCTTCACCACACCCAGAGGACACGTATACACGATTCCGACAGTGGATAACGAGATCGAGTTTTTCTACAAGAAGGTCAAGTCCTGGAGAGACGACCAAGCAGCAAGGCTGCTCGCGCCTGCACACTTGGCCAAGAGCACCGATGTCCACGTAGCCGGCCGAGGGGAAGGCAAGCAGCAGGATCAAAACGCCGACCGACCCGGCAACATGGATTTAGAGAAGGCGTTCCCATCTCTGGATGCCGAGGCATTTCTGGCTGACGACGCAGCCTACTACCCAACAGATTCGGACGCCGTCGGAAACATAGGCATCATCGATTCGACGGCCTGCCCACCTGCCGTCGATCTGGAGCACGAAAAGTTGGTGGTGGAGGTTCCACAACTTCCGAGCAGTAGCCTGGTGGACGTTAGAGTCTACATCCAAAAGACATATATGCAAATGGTCGACACTTGGGAAATGCAGGTCGAGAAGCAGGTCTCATCGCGGATCCAGGAGAAGGTGGGACAGCTGACCAACGAGCTGCACGCAACGCTGTACCGCTACGAAAACCGACGACGGGACGTCGAAGATCAATACCGAAACCGTCTTGGTAAGCAATTGATGCGGGAAGGGACACAGCAGATTTGACTCAGTCAGCCGTGCGGCTGTCGACTTTTATCACTCGAGCGACAGGCAGCTTGATCGCATCTCAGAGTTTGATATGTGTGATGGAGACGGTGCGGAGCGGCTTGGGTGCTTTGGCTGATTGGCTTGGGTTCTTTGGCCGATCGGCTATTGCAAATGAATTGACATTCTGCCTCGAATCATGGGGCTGCCGGTTGCGACAGAGGAGATTGGTTTGCGTGCCGTGCTGAACGAAAAAGAAGCCTTCATTATCGAGCACCGCATCGAGCAGCTCAAGCTCAGCTTTACATCTTCGATCGACCGGCTCGAGCTCCTGTCGCGCGAGTTCACCGTCTCCGTCACGCTCCCGACCATCGAGCAGCTGCGCCGCATCAAAAAGTCGACGCAGATGCAGTCGGCAAGGGCCCTGTTCAACGAAAAGCTGGAAGCCCATACCAAATTCATGAAAGAATCGCTGTCGAGTGCCCTTTCAACGTTTCAGTATGGCTGCGATGTCCTGAAAAAGAGCCGGTGTGAGCAACACATTCAGGCATGGCGCATCATCAACCAGCGCCATCCCAAAACCGACCTCATCTACGAGCTCGAGGCCTGGGTCTCCACCCACGATGGGCGCATCGATCGAGTGCAGAAGGAGGTCGAAGCGCATGCCATCCGGATGGAGGATGAGGTCTGGTCTCATTCCGAGGAGGTCCGATTTCTCGAGGCCATCGACGACGTCCTGTCCAAGACGAAACTCAGGCTGCGTGCAGAGGCAAGTCTATTGAGCTCCAGGTTTCGCCTGCCGTCGTAACCATCTCCTCTGGTTCATCTCGGTGGCTTTCTCACCTCGGAAATGTGTGGATCGATTTGTCTTGCGCTCAATGAGCTCCTTGGTATCGATCTAACGTCCCGAATCCTTCCCTCCCACACACACTCATGCCACCAAGTTCAGATGGCATATATGGGCCAGCTGGACATGATCATCCACCAGAAGCTTGACCTCTTGAAGTTTCTGGCAAACAAGGAAAACTTCAATTGGGTGAGTGACGGGGCGAGTTGCTTGCGGTAGTCAGCAACTCAGTTCCCATCGTGCTGGAAGCTGTCGGGCAGTGCTGATGAGTCGGGAGCAACCCACTCGGTGGGATGGATCATTGCACACTGTATGATATCAAAGTGGACAGTTGATTGCTCTGCCAATATGGCTTCTTCCCCCAGAGGGCTTCATGGATATCCGCACCCCAATATAGAGAGCTCAGTCGGTGATGGCTTTGTAGGACTCGATCAACTCACACCCAAATCCGTACTTTGGAATCACAGGACTCGGTTTGCCAGCTCCTCTGCACCCTTAACGAGCTACGGATTCTTATCGTCAACATGACCCGGTACTCCAACTCCCTTACCGAGTCGTTTGATCCAAGTCGGGTCCAGGTGCCGGTGACACTGGAGAAGACAAAATGGATGTCTTCAGGGTGAGCCGTGGGCATCGTCGACACTGCTCTGCTTGTAGCTGCCGCTTGCATTCATCACCAGGTTGACAATCACATGGCCATATTAACGAGCACTGTCGATGCCCCCTCCACCAACGCATCCAACATCCTGCGTCTTTGCTGGAACCAAACAGCTCCGAGTTTTTCCTTCTGTCACATCCATCAGTGAAGAAAATCATCACACACGACACCTATGTCGGCCAGGCTTTGACCCTTACCCAGACGATTCTCTCGGACTCGCTGCACGAGATCAAGCCGACGTACCAAGAGCGGGTCCAGTTGATCTGGGACGAAACTTCTGCCTCTGTTGAGCTCAAGAGTCAGGTGAGGGCTCGGGGTCTGGGTTTCCCTGATATCCTATAGGACCAACGGGCTTTGGCTGCATCGTCGTCCGCATGAGCTGCGACCCGGGCCATCGTGTATACAATGCTTCGTTTGGTGTATCGGCTCGGGTTGAAGTGCATTCTATTGCCCACGCATCCTCACCCGCGCACACATCGATTTGCTCCGCCCCGATGCTTTGTCCATAGGAGTTTTACTCGTCGCTCCGACACACCATCAAGCGAACGCAGGAGATTCCTCCGACCTTTCCGGAGTATAAAAAGACTCTCGACGGGCGTATGCAAGGGCTGAAGGACGATTCAGAGTCCAGACGGCTTGACTTTTCAAAAGGTTGGCTGCCGCTGAATCGCTTCGGCCGTGCCCTGCCATTCACACGGTTCCGTCACCCGAGCCTCGCCAACACAACTAATCCAATGACTTTGTCAGGCCTCCTCGCGATTGTTGTGCAATACTTTGACATCATATCCCACAGCTCCGAACACATCCTCTCGTCGCTCTACAAGGACGCCTCGTTCGTTTGCGAAGACACCTGGCAACAGGAGTCGCAGTCATTTGCGGACGCATGGAAGTCGGAAGCACGACGGCGGAAAGCACTGTACAGCTCGATGAAGCCTCGGCTCGGCCACCCAAACAACAAAAGCGAGCTGGATGTGTTTGAGTGTTCGGCCGAGAAACTCAAGAAAGACTTTGAAGGCCGCATCGTCAAGGTTCGGTCGTCGTATGAGGCTGCACTGGACAAGATTCGAGTCCAGTACTTGGTCGAGATGGAGTATCTGAAAACTAGCTTTCTCGCGTTGATGAGTGCCTCAGTCCACAGCAACGACTTGATCATCCCAGGTGCGTTTTGTGCCAAGGCAGCCGTATCTGTGCTGGTCGATGGTAGAGCAGGGATTGCTGTGTCTGATACCGGGTTTCGTCGCAAACAATAGGCGATCCGCCAGCTGTGCCAAAGCAAACCATCCGATCAATCATCAATGCCCGTCGGGCTAAAAAGAGCCTCGACGAGCTTCCGCTGCGGTCAGCAGCAGCATCGACAGCAGTAATAGCCTCAGGTTGGTGGCTACGGGCTGGGGTGCCGACTCTAGTTTCTGGACTGCTGAGTGTCACTGCTTTGTCCTTAGAGCAGACGCTACGTTGGTTGTATTCTCACGCCAGATCATCGCCAACTTCGTCTTGCAAATGGTGCGATAGACACCACAGAACGCACCAAGAGCGTCGTATCGCGCTTTGCCCAGGTGCACCAAGACTTTAGCAATCGCTTTTCGCAGGATATTCGTCGCCGGCAGCTGCACGTTCAAAGCCAGGCGGAGGAGCAGAAAGCCAGGAACGACCTGTGGTTCGCGAATTGGAGAGACTCCATCCTGCAGATCCTGCAGCTGTTTGATCCGAACAAGAGCCTGTGACCTCTGCGCCCTCATGTCCTCGGCTGCGAGACCAGCGTGAGATTCGATTCGATTGGATCGCCATAATACACATATCCCGACACCGGCGTTCAGATTATTCAAATGCAAAGACGAGAGACTGTGGCGACAGCGTCCGCGCACGATATTGCGTTTTCATGATCAGCTTGTGTGCGGCACCCATCACCACAAAGGGCGGAGCACCCATTCAGCTTGCCTCGATCTGGGCTTTCCTCGAGATCTCCCTCCCTCCGGCAGTCGACCCAGCCCAATCTGCATCGTGCCTGACCATCCCCGGCGTGCTCCCAATCTACTCGTCATGTCCGTGCTGCTCGAAACATCGCTTGGCGATATTGTCATCGATCTGGAGGTCAAGAAGGCCAGGCAGTCGTGCATCAACTTCCTCAAGCTCTGCAAGGCCAAACGCTACAACTTTGCACTCTTCCACAACGTCCAAAAGAACTTTACAGCCCAGTGCGGCGACCCCTTTGGCACCGGAAACGGCGGCGAATCGATCTGGGGGTATGGCTGGTGATCAGGGCCTTGCTGGACTGCTGGATCGTGTGGAGATCGCAAAGCTGCGGCGATCCGATGGGCACCACCAATACCGACTTGCAGGAGGCTGTGGTGTGCATTTTGGCTCGGCGACTGCATTCCTCAACTCATGCACTCGTCTCGCTGCCCTCTCGTTTGCCACTAGAATCATGAAAGGCCCTGCCTACCGCCTGTTTGCACCCGAGATCCATCCAAAGCTGAAGCACAACAAGAAGGGCACAGTTTCGTTTGCCACTCTGGGAGCCGACGAAAGCGGTCTCCCCGTCGCTGGTTCCCAGTTTTTCATCACTCTGTCTGACGACCACCTGGACTATCTGGACGGCAAGCAAGCAGTTTTTGGATACGTCGCCGAAGGATTCGAGACTCTCGACAAGATCAACGCCGCCCTCTCGGACGAATCAAACCGGCCGTTCCGTGATATACGGCAAGTATAAGCTGCCTTTGACTCGGCCCACCCGCTCGCCCGCATTCTGTGCACCGGGGCCGATCCAAGAGGGATATTGCTGCCGTCTGTCAGCGCCATCTGTCAGCACCATCCGAGATCGTGGACTCATAACCCTGTCCTGCTCCCGCCCGCCTTCGTCTGGTAGGATCCGGCATACCATTGTTCTGGACGATCCCTTCGATGACCCGGAGGAGCTGCTGCCATTCGTCCCCGAGCAATCTCCCGAGCCCACTGAGGAGATGATCAAAGCCGGTCGCATCGGTGAAGACGAAGAGCTCTTCCCTGATGTGGATCCAGAGGAACTTGAACGCCAGCAAAAGGCCAAGGAGGCCGCCGCACAGGCGCTGACCCTCGAAATTGTGGGCGACCTTCCATTTGCCGAAATCAAGCCACCGGATACTGTCCTCTTTGTCTGCAAGCTGAACCCAATCACCCGTGATGAGGATCTGGAGCTCATCTTCTCTCGGTTTGGCGAGATCGTGAGGTATGCATGCCTCGGCGGTGTGTCCAGCCGTTTTTGTTTGGCTCGTACGATGAGAGCTGGCTAGCTAAACCGGCTCTGCCTATGCTTGACGATAGCTGTGAAGTCATTCGCGACAAGAAAACTGGCGATTCGCTATGCTATGCGTTTATCGAGTTTGAGGCCAAGGAGCAAGCTGAGGAGGTGAGTGCCAGCATGGATGTCCGCGGGCAGCGTCGGCACCTCATCAACAGAGGATCGAATGCACCAAACGATTAGGTCCAAAGCCAATACGGACAATTGCCGTGATGTATTGGATACTAAAGAGCGCGAACATTTGGCTCAGGCGTACTTCAAAATGGACAACGTGCTTATTGACGACCGGAGAATCCATGTGGACTTTTCCCAGAGCGTCTCCAAGTTGCATCTCGATTTCATGAGTAAGCGTTCTGGCGGACTGCCGCTGTCGCTGCTCCGGACATGCGCTCTAACGCACATTCCTTGGTTGATTCCGAACCAGGATCCAAGCAATCTGGGGGCGAATATGGAGCTGGATTCCAAAAGCGATCCAAGTATCGTGTTGCCGACGAGGAAGAGAAAAACTACGATCTGGTGTTTGAGCACGAGGGGAACCTGGATTCCGAGAAGAGCCAGGGAAGCAGCAAGCGAAGACGGGTCGACGACGACAACGAACCCGGCGACAACGAACCGCAACCGGTGGTGTCTCGATCTGATTTATCGACAGAAAGCAGGCGGGGCGACGGACAACGACCGGAGGGACGATCGACAGGGTGGAGCCGAGGCGACAGTAGAGACGTCTATCGCAAGCAAGATCGCGATGATTGGCGAAACGACCGGCGAAGCGACCGGCGAAATGACCGGCGAGATGACCGGAAAGACGACCGGCGAGATGATCGACGAGATCACCGCCGAGATGATAGACGGGATGATCGACGAGATGATCGACGGGATAACCGATATCGCTCCCGATCTGACCGCAAGTAGCCGAGTCTGCCGACCACGCCAAGTGAATGGAGCACTTTGGCAATCAGAGCATTGAATAACCACTTTCCCGGACTGCATCGGGCCATCAAATTATATGTGGGCCTGCATGCATTGATGAGTTCGCGAGCTCAGTCGTTTGGCTGGATGAGTGGATCTTGAAGGGATGACAGACTTGGTGGTGGCGAACGTGGATTTGGAATGGGTGCGTATTACCATCCAAAAAGCAGTACATGTACACTCTAAATATGAGCGAACGGGACACCACACCCGCTTCCATGAACATGAAGTATGTGATGAGCTTGCGTCAAGCTGAGCCATAAGAAGGGCGATGTGGATGGCGACGGTGCGCTTGAATAGCTCAGAGTACCGAGCAAACCGCTGCCTCCGAGGGCTGGATGCATTGCCCTTGCCTTGACGCCATGACATATCGCCAGCGGTGAATGGTGGTGCTCTTGGACACACTGGCGAATGGTCATGGCCAGTGCGCGATGGTATTGGGAACAAGTTATTCGGTCATTGACCAATAACCAAGGTGTCCTGTTGACTGTAAGGCTCAATACCAGGGAGTCCTGATTCGTTTTGCCGATGCCGGACGATCGCATGTCGAAAATCCGTCGAAAAGCCATCAAATACCACTCCCACATCCACATCCACATCCACATCCACATCCACATCCACATCACATCCACATCTCTGCGGCTGCCCTCCCCCCCCCCAAGGGATCGTCGCAGCGCCCGCCGGTCCGTGTGGCCTGTTGGTCCGAACAGCGGAGCCCATGACAAGCGCGGCCCTGGAGCGAGCGGGCCCTCGTCCGGCACCAGGGACTCATCGGAGCTTGTCAGCTTGCCCCCGACCGAGGGCAGAGGGATGCAGCTGGGAGAGGGGAGATGGAATGGTCCTCCAGCAATAAGTAGTGCCCTCGGATCGCTCGCTGCGAGACTTCGTCTTCCAGATCCCAACCCCCTTGATCGATTCACATTGCTGTGATCTGTTCACGCCATCTCGCCCAGACTACTTTTTTTCTCCGCAACAGCATTGTTCTCCCCTTTATCTGCATATAGGCCCTCCAAGCTCGCTGCCGCAATCGATGGACCCGAACATATCCCTCGCTGGAGCAAAGCCAGAGCCACTGATCGCTGTCGGCGGACGAACCGTCAGCCTCATGCCTCAATCGGGAGCCCACTCTGGCTTGCCACCGGCCCAGTCCAGCCCCGCGGCCGAGTCCGCCAGACATCTTAGTGACGATGTTGCTAGCGGTAAAGTCGAATCATGGTATATATCCATTCCTGCCAGGGAAGCTGGGCCTCCACCAACCCCACGGCCACGGACCGATCGCATCAAGCACGACGGGGCTGTCTCGGTCGGGTCTCTCGAAAACACTCTTTCCGACACCAACTTCCGCCATTCAAGCGTCACTCGATCGGAGCGGGCCATCATGATGGACCAAACCCTGTCTGACTCGGCAACGCAGCTGACAGTCTCGAGCCGCTCGCTGCCCTGGGGAAACGATCTACAGCCCAGCCCAGCGTCCACACAGGCCTGGCTTCAGAACCGCATGGATATCAAGCCAACCCCTCCCGCCGGCCACTTGACCATCAGCCAGCCCGTTCCCAGCCAAGTGGCCGAAATCGCAAGGTATCACGCGGGCGAAGAGTTTCGGACCCTCCGGTACACAGCTGTAACCTGCGATCCCGATGAGTTCATGCAAAAGGGCTACACCCTGCGCCAGTACAACTATCAGCGACATACCGAAATCGCCATTGCCGTAACGCTATACAACGAAGACGAAAAGGCTCTCCTGCGCACCATACGCTCTCTCATGAAGACCGTCTCTGATCTGTGCAATCGCAATCGGTCCAAGATTTGGGGCGGTGAGGGCTGGCAGAAGGTTACTGTGTGCCTGATTGCCGATGGCCGCGAGAAATGCCATCCCCGGGTCCTCAGCGTCCTCGGTCTCATGGGCCTCTACCAAGAGCATTTACTCGTGCCAACTGTCAACGGAGAGCCTGTTACGGCTCACATATTTGAGTACACAACTCAAGTCTGTGTCGACGACAATTTTGAAGTCCAACCCAACGAGGGATATGCTCCTGTGCAAGTGAGTAGTTCTTGCAACCGATGTGAGCCGGATCGGCTCGTTCCGGGCAGTTGTAAAGCGCACTTGGCGATCTTGTCCGTTGATTGCACGAATGAGCCGCCAAACCAAGCAATATCTACAGACTTGGGTTGAGAATGAATCTGCAGTACCGGGAGCAATCCAATCGGGTGAGCTTGTCGTCGCCTGAGACTGATTGAGCCGTGTTCGATCGTGCCATAGTTTATATTTTGTTTGAAGGAAAATAACCAGAAAAAGATCAACAGCCACCGGTGGTTCTTCAATGCTTTTGGCCCGCTCCTGTGCCCCAACATCTGCCTGGTATGTCTGGTCCATTTACCATTCACCGCCTTCAGACGAGGCCCACGTACCACACGGCAGCGAGGCTCTGAGTGGGTTTTGGGGTCTATCTTGGACACTTGGGCTGGAAACGAGGAATGGCCACTCTGTCCGCCGTTGCTTGCGTTGACAGCAAGGTTCTCAACCTTCCATGATTGATGCAGCTGCTCGACGTCGGAACCAAGCCCTTCTCCGGAGCCATATATCATCTATGGAAGGCGTTTGATCGAGATCCGCACCTTGGTGGGGCTTGTGGCGAAGTGTGCGCCGAGCTGGGCAAGTTTGGCGCTGGCCTTCTCAATGTCCTCGTTGGGGCTCAGAACTTTGAGTACAAGATGAGCAACATCCTGGACAAGCCCACCGAGTCTGTCTTTGGTTACATCAGCGTCCTCCCTGGGGCATTCTCTGCATATCGCTACTCGGCGATCCAAGGCCGCCCACTCGAGATGTATTTCAGAGGGGAGCTTCTCAAGTACAACACCTCCAGCAAAGTGACTGCATCGACCGCCAATATGTATCTGGTGAGCGCACCGTTCGAGCGATCGTCTGCCTGCAAATCCTGTGCCCCTGGACCTCGAAACAGATTCTCACGACTCCTCTGCAATATACATGTGGTCACAATGGGCTTGGCCAGGCCGAGGACCGCATTCTGTGCTTTGAATTGCTCACCAAAACGCAGCAGAGATGGTCACTCAAGTATGTCAAGTCCGCCAAGGCAGAGACTGATGTCCCAAAGCACATCACCGAGTTTATTACCCAGCGCCGACGCTGGCTCAACGGCTCGTTCTTTGCCATGGTGTACGCACTTTCTGGGGCGCACCGCATTCTTCAGTCAAGCCACTCGATTCCGAGAAAGATTCTGCTCGTGATCCAGTTTGTGTACAACGCTATATCCTTGATCTTCAGTTGGTTTGCGCTGGTGAGTCGCAGTCGCGTTTGCATTCGGGATTGCTTCTGCCGCTTCACCAAGGGACCATGTACTAACTGTGTATCGCCGGCCCAGTCCTCGTTCTACCTGACATTTTACTTTCTCGGCGGACCAAGCCAATCTAACCCGGCGGCCAACAGCGGCATGGTCGATCCATTCTTTGGCTATGGAGACGTGGTTTTCCAAATGCTTCAGCAACTCTACATCGGGTCGCTGGTGCTGACCTTTGTGGTTTCGCTTGGCAATCGTCCCAAGGGCTCCAATTATGCCTATCTGTTTTGCTTCCTTATCTTCACCTTCCTGATGATGGTGAGTGTGTGGGCTAGGATCCCGTGGGCTCCTCAGCACGGGTTGTCTGAGCCGCTCGGCGATGTGGATCGTCGGTACATGGCCTTGGTGTTAAACAGCGTTCTTGCTCCGCAGGTGATGCTCTACCTCACCGGGTTTGCGATATTCCAGAGTCTGCCAAAGTATGATGGCTCTGTGGCATCGCTGCCGAGCTTGCTCGGGCAACCCGTCTTCCGAGACATTCTCATTGCGGTGGGATCATCGTATGGACTCTTCATCCTCTCGTCGCTGCTCTACTTTGAAGTCACTCATATCATCGGGTCAATGCTGCAGTATATTCTGCTGCTTCCGTGCTTCACGAACATCCTGATGGTTTACGCATGTAGGTGTCTGCACTTCCTGTCCAATCTGCAGCATGTCGCAAAACCCATACTCAGTGTCGAGTGTGTCGGGAGAACAGTGCATCAAGCGGGCCATGGAGCATGCTGGCCATCGTATCTGATCCTCCTTGGCGACGCAGTCTGCAATATCCACGACGTCACTTGGGGCACCAAGGGAGAAAGCTCGTCGCCAATCAAACATGAACCTGCTGCCGACGCAGCAGGACTGGAGGCGGCCGCAGCCAGCGAAAGCGACATGGATGTCTCTCAAACTAGAAACGGGATCGATGCAGAATTCGATGCCGCCGTAGCGCACCTGCGAGCCGGCCCCAACAACCGGGAGCGGCCAGGGGCAGACGAGGCGCTGACCATCAGGGATCTCAAGACGCTGCAGGAGGACTACTTCCGACGGTTTCGCTCCAACGTCGTGCTGCTGTGGATTGCAAGCAACTGGCTTCTGGTGCTGGTGCTGACCAACCCCAAGTGGTCCACCGTCTTTTACCAGACCCTGGGTGTCCGAGCGACGCCCGAGTTCAATCCGTACCTCAAGTTTCTGTTTTACGTCTTTGCGGGCATGGGAATCTTCCGCTTCTGCGGCTGTGTGATCTATTTGGTGCTGTTCATGATTGGTCTTTGATGGGTTCGTGGCCCTTTGTCCCAAAGGAAGTGATACAGAGTGCCGATGATACTCATACTCATGAGAAGCAAATGGAGCGCTGTGCCAATATGGTGAAAACGGCCTTCACCCGGAGGTCGCCAAAGTGGTTCCTCTTGCAGCTTTTGAAGACCGCGGGCTGTCCTCCGGCCCACAATCTCTCTCTTCGACCCACAATCTCTCTTCGACCCACAATCTCTCCAGTCTCCACAATCTCTCCAGTCTCCACAGTCGCCCCGCACAGCGATCATGTTGCGCGCCAGGTTGACGTCGCGATTCCACACGGTATGGCAGCTGTGATTCTTGGGTCATTCGGTTTGCATCCCTGCTCCGGCGGCGACTTGTGGTCCTGGACGCACTGAAGATGGAGGCCGTCTCTCCTGGGCTGTGGATGATCGCACAGTATCGCAAGGCAGCGATCCAATGGCCTGCCCGTCCCATTGTGGGGGCAGCCAAAGCGCAAGCACAAGCCGCCCGCATTGTCTGGGTGGCTTTGCCTGCATCTTGTCGGATCACCCCGGTCTGCATCTTGCCGGATCATCTTGGGCTGCGTTGCTGTCGTCCACACCTCGTCCGTCTGCCTGGGAACCCAACACATCCCGCTGCCCCGGCTGCCTGTCGACCGATCCGTTCGCCCGCAAGCATCCAACCCTTGTGTGCCTCTTCCTCCAGTGGCCCGCCCTTGGAGCATCAATCCGCAAACCCATGTCCGAGCGCGCTGATGCCAAACCCCCGCCTCCTGGTCTTGCCCAGGCGAGCTCACAAGCCCCGCAGCCCTCCGTCTTGAGCAGTTCACCAAGGCGAAGATCGGTTCCTCGGAATACCTTCAATGGCCTGTCCAGTGACCCGACTCCGTCGGCTATCCAGCTTGTCGGCTCGGCGACCGTCCCGGGCAGTCCTGCGAGCGTCCCACCCGTTCGAGAGCGTCGGTCCTTTTCGCATTCTCCTGCCGACCGTGCTGCGGCTGATGGATATCTGCAGCATGGCCACGAAGACCATGTGCATGATCACATCCATCACCATCAACACCATCATCACCATCATCACCGGCACCACACGCCGTCTCCCGCCCCGCATCCGCATCCGCACACCCATGCAGCGAGCGCATCGATTGACAGCCTTGTCTCTGGAAACCGCAGCCGTGCGCAATCTGTCATTTCCAAGCTTGGCTCCCGGCTTAGTCTGCGTCACCCGAGAGAGATCCTGGCCTCAGCCGATACGGTTGTGCGCTTACGGAACGGCTCTGTCCTGAGTCGCGGCACGCTGTTGAAGAGCGACCACTTCGATACAGGTATGGCCGACCAGAGGTGTGGTAGACGATGTAATGTGTGCGATGCGGTGCCATGGAATGTGGTGAGCTGTCGAGCCATATCCGGTTGCTGCATACGGTCGTAGCTAGCTTGTGCCAACTAAAGAAGCAACGACACTCGTCTCGTTAGGCTTCCATACCCGCATCGACTTCTACCTCCACGGAGCCCCCAACTTCCGCATGGCCGACATGAACATCTTTGGTGTGGCTCAACCCAAGATCTCGGGCATCTCTACGGTCCTGCGTCTGTTGAGCTGCTACCCCGGAACGCCCGAGTCCACCCCTTGCATCTGGTTCTCGACCCGAGAGGAGCCCATGATCTATATCAATCAGAGCCCCTTTGTCCTGCGGGAGTGTGATAATCCGATGCGTAACGTGCGCACTTACCAGGGTATCAGCGCCAGCCGGCTTGAGAATATGGAAGAGCGTCTCAAGGAAGATATTCTCGCCGAAGCGGCTCGCTCAAACGGTCTCATTCTCGTCCACGACGAAATCCGTGAGTAGCATGCTGCCCCGCCGACCACTGCTACCCGCACGTTGTACCAATTTACTTTCTGAGCAGGTTGTGTCCGTCGAATGGGCTCATACGCAGCTTTGCAGTGGCTTCTGTCGTTGTTGGGGGTTCTTACGCTAATGTGCTGCTCTCACAGACACGGGCAAGATTGTTCCCACCTGGATGTCGGTGGATTCCGTACAAACGCTCAGGGAAGTCTTCCAGTCGTTTGTAGCCGAAGGCTACCCCGTCAAGTTCTTGCGCATCCCCGTAAGCTCTGACCAGGCTCCCGAGGACCAGTATATTGACGAATACGTCAATGTCATCAAGAGCGCCAGCATCAACGACTCGTTGGTCTTCAACTGCGGCATGGGTGTTGGTCGAAGTACGTTGTGGCATCATCTATCACGGCGACGCAGTGATTCCGCGCTGTCGGGGTGTCTGAACATGATGGCGCGAGCAGCTTGCGCGGCTCTCTGCTCGTCCCAATGAGCTTGCTCCTACACACCTCAAGACCGCTGCGATATTGATCCGTGGACCTGCTTTGGTGGCTGACACTCTCGCTGGTATGCTCTTTTACAGCAACGTTTGCCATGGTTGTCGCAATGCTGATCCGACGAGCTCAAATCATGGCCAAGGGCCTGGATGATCCTGTACCTATCAATTACTTCCACTTGAACGAAGGCTCGCAGTCCGAGCTGTGGAACATGGAGGAAAACGAGGTGCAGAACCGCGCTTTGCTGAAGCTGGTTCAGGTTCTGGAGATCAGTAAGTGCTCGTGGCGACCGCATAGATGTCATGGATAGTATGGGCGGCGCGGATACCGTGGGCCATACAAGCCTGGCTATCATTGCGGCCATGGGTAGATCAGAGGCAGTTCGCTGATGACCTCCCTCAACCTGTCCCGATCCTAATCAGTACATTGTTCATACGCTGGTTTGCACTGCTTCAGGTCTTGGCGGGAAGGTTAAAAATCGGTCTGCTATCGAGTGGGCTCTTGCTCGCGGCCCGCTGATCGATGATCTCAAGAACGCCATCATGGGCAATTATCAGTGCATTCTACAGCTCTGCAGTGTGCTCCAGGACGGAAATGACAGCAAGAAGCTCCTGGATGCCATTATCGACAGATGTAGGTCGCAGCTGCGTAGGACTGCTAGCGATCACATCAAGCAAATGGTGAATTCGTGCTCTGACCGAATGACATCCTGGTTCCGTGGCTCTGATTTGCTGCAGGCGACATCATGATCAACTTACGCGAGGCGATATTGATGCATCGCATTCGATACTCCAATATCGGCGACGAGGTCTCGCTCGAGAAATCGCTGGGATGCCTCGAAAAGTACTTCTTCCTGCTCGCGTTCTGCTCGTATGTCAATGAGTCTTGCTCCGGCGAGCTGAGCTCCTTCGGCAGCTGGCTTAAGGATCGACCAGGTATGTGTAGGCCGGAAGGAAGGAACATTCGACTTGCTCAATGCCGACTGCTCGACTGGTTACGATGCCCACCTCACGAGCGTGTATGTATGCCTGTTCGGCGCATTGGCGAGTAGAAATATGGCGGATGCTCCAGAATATCCGCCACCGCGGGCCTCGGCTCTACCTCTTCCGCCCTGTCGAAGATCTGTCCGTCTTTGCCGAGGAAAAGGACACGCTCATGGGATGGGGCCAGGGTCCTGCGCGCAAGAACATAAACGAACTCGAAACCTACGTCATCAAGGTAACTGCACCTGTCTTCTCCACTACGGGAAAGAGCTGCTCTGAATAGCTCGGAGCGGCTTCAGCCCGCTCGGATCTCATGTGCAGGACTAATACTGGGTCCCACGGCCCGCATTCTAGTCGCGCCAAGGCATCGTCTTGGTGCCGCATACCATTCTCAAGGTCGACTTTTGGTCGGCCAAGGCGTCTCTGCAAGTCGAAATTGAGGGGGCGTCCAATTTCAGGTGAGTTTCTATCGCACTTGTTTGGCTTGCAGCAGTGGCTAGCTCCAAGCGATGTCCATTCTGACTCGGTCGTGTACAGAAAAATACCAGGATTGAGTATCTATGGCGTTGCCCAGCCCACCCTCAAAGGAATCCGGAACGTAATCAACGAACTAACCAAGGAGCATCCACCCGACACCGTGGTCTACTGGATCAATCTCCGAGAGGAGCCGCTGATATACATCAACGGCACGCCCTATGTGCTCCGCGACCAGTACTTTACTTTGCGCAACATCAAGTCCTATGCTGGAATCACGTCCACGCGCCTGGAGTTGATTGAAGACCGACTCAAGGAGGACGTTGCGTTCGAGCTCTCGAATTACGACAGTCGGATTCTCCTCCATCGAGAAATCAGCGACAGCAAAGTAACGGGTATATGGGAGGACTGCACCATGGAGCATGTTCTCACGATCCGGGAAATCATGGGTCAACTCAACAATGACGGCGCTCTCAAGATATCGTACTACCGCGTCCCGACTACGGCCGAGGCGCCGCCCGATGAAGAAGACTTTGACACGCTGCTGGGGATCCTTGCAGCTGCCAACTTGAAGAGCACGGCCATTGTCCTGTATGTATCAAGGGTTGGCAATATCACGGTCGCGGGATAGAATGCCCCCCCCCATCCTGAAATTTGCCCACAGGCCGGTGGGCTCTATTCGCTCGCCAGCTGCGGTTCTGCTTTCGGAGTCTTCTTGTTGCTGGCTCACGACTCGCGAGCGTTGTGGCCAGCTTCCTGTTCGGATGTGCTGCTACGTTATGGCAGATGTTGGGCTGCCTACTATTTTGTTCATTTTGGAGACGCCCCCATAGCTTCTCTGGCAAGGACAAGCTCATGGCATACCTCCGCGCGAGAGTATTGCGGCTGTTCGTCTGGGCTAGCCCTCACCCTGACAATCTCTTGATTTCATCCAGAAACTGCCAAATCGGAATGGGTCGCTCAACCGTAGGAACAGGTGTGTTGGCTCGAAAGGACCCACTCGGACTTTTACATCTAAGAGATGAAGATGTCATTATGGTGACCCCGTGTGCCTAACTCTATCCCCATCCTCGTCTTCTGACCCACTTGTCTCAGTCCTGGTCTCGGTGTTGACGCATTGGCTCAACGGAACGACTCCAGTGCCCAGTCCTCAGCAGCGGCCGCGACTCAACTATCAGATCATCCACTCGCTCCTCCGTGTGATTCGTAATGGCCTTGAGTGCAAAGCGGTTGTCGATAACATCGTTGACAACTGCGGCGCATGCCTGAACATGCGCGATTCAATCGAATCATGGCGGCTCAAGGCCGAGAGCGCTGACAGCGAGGAGCAGCGCCGTCAGGCCGTGCGGAAGGGTCTGAACAACCTCAAGCGCTACTTCATGATGATAGTCTTCCAGAGCTACCTGGACCAGCACTCGCCGGACATGAAGGACCGGCTGGAGGGCTTCAGTCAGTGGCTTTCGCGGCATCCAGAGTTCAAAACCATGCGCGAAGAGCTTCATAATGCCGACGAGAAGTGCCTCATGCCAGTCGAGAAACTCGAGCCCGGTATGTCGCACAGGTGTCGCAGCGAACTTTGTAGCAGGTGTCGAGTGATGCACCAAAACAAGCTCAGCGAGAGGAAGAATTCTAGAGCTCACCGCTTGTTTGTGTGTATGCAGGCGATGGAATTGCCTTGACCAATGAGGTCATGGAGGTCGTCAACCAGCGCAATGGAAGCGTTCTGGCGCAACACACAATCCTCAAGTACGACATGTTCCCGGGTGCTCAGAAGCTGTCGCTGACTGAGCGCATTGAAGGTAGGGCCAAGCTGTCCTCGAGTCGGGCGGCGGCACAACCCGGGAGTGAGTGGCATGGAAGCACGAGCGCCAGTGCACCGGGGCCTACACTGAGACAGCTCGACGCTGCTGACTTTTTCGGCTCTCACACCAGGCGCCCCCAACTATCGAAGAGTGCCCCTTTCTTCATTTGAGACGTGGCGAGTCGGCCCGCTCAGTCAGCACTCGCTCTCGTCAAAGAGCTCGTCGCTCTTAGACTCCTCCTCAGAAGCCCATCTGTTATCGGACTATCCCTCGGTGTATGGCATCGGCATGCCTACCAAGGACGCCATCCGCAGTGTGCTGGCCAAAGTTGGCGCCGGCCCCGATGGCGAGCGGAGACTCCTTTGGACCAGTTTGCGTGAAGAACCCGTCATCTATGTGAACGGTATGGGGTGTTTGCGAGGATGCATGCAGGGAGCTTGTGTCTGTGGAAGGTTGTTGTGGGCTCTAACTCGCTGCTATCTCTCAGGGCGTCCCTATGTCTTGCGGCTGTTCCAGGACCCGCTCAAGGTACGCGCCTACCCATTCCGCCAATGCTAAAGTTTGAGGCGACCGTAGTGCAACGTGTATATTTGCAGCCTCAGAGACTGGGAATCGGCATAACGAGAATTATGTTCCTTCGGGTAGCCACGGCAGACCATCGACTCTAACAGTGCTGATATATCCATCTCCATCCGACGCAGAATCTTGAGGCAACTGGAATAGCGCGCGAGCGTGTCGAGAGAATGGAAATGCGCATGAAATTCGACATCATTAGTGAGCTTCGCAAGTACCAGGGCCGCCTGCTGCTTCATGAAGAAGAGATGCTCAAGGACGGACTCTCGATTGTTGTAAGTCTGGTGCTTGGACCGTGTTCAGGCGGCGTCGCAGAGTCGGAAGAGTTGACGCATGCAGAGTCAGTCGTCCTCTGACTGGCGCTCTATCGTTGCTGTGCTAGCCTATCTGGGAAAGCGTTCGCGAGGAAGATGTCCAGACACCGCTGGAAATCTACAAATCAATCCAGGAAGAAGGATACCGCGTCGACTATTTAAGAATTCCGATGTAAGTGCAATGGCTCCTTCAGTGCATGGCATTATTCGTTGTGTATGGGCGGCAGCCTGCAAATAGCGGCGGGGGGTGTGACTTCATCGCGATATCCCGCGATGGCAATTGATACCTGATCGTCGCTGCATTCCCATGTCTCGGACTTCAGCACGGATGAGCAGGCCCCGATTCCGGATGTTTTCAACCAACTGGTGGACCGCGTCCTGAAAGTCGACACGGCATGCGACAAGATGTTCAACTGTCAGATGGGGTATGTTGCAACTCGATAGATTTTGCTGGATATGCAGCGGCGGAGGCGCAGTCTCGCCAGCGATGATTTGCGCGATCGACCAATGCACGGCCGCCCGCTGCGGGTTGAGATACAAGTTGCTGTAAAGCACCTGTCGGCGGCGCACTCGGTACAGGTTACAGCGCCGTTTGAAATGCAGCCTTGATCAGCAACGGAGAGAGCGGAAGCGTTGTATGTTGGTTTTCTAACAATGCGTTGGATTGGCTCTTTCCTGGACCTACTTGATCCATGTACTCCAGCCGAGGCAGAACAACCACGGGCATGGTGATTACATGCATCATGGAAATGGTGGTGGGCAATCCCGCGCTGATCGAAAGCCAGCATACGCTCGATGCATCCGACGAGCCCGAGCTCTTGGCCGGAGAAGCGGACAACCGCACCCGGTACCAGAAGGGTGAATATCGGGTGATTCTCCAGCTCATCCAAGTGCTCCAGTATGGCAAACTGGCCAAGAAGGTCACCGATCAAGCCATCGACACCTGCGAGCACCTCCAAAATCTGCGCATAGCCATCTTCGATTACAAGCTGCGGGTGGAGGCGATCGAAGTCGGAACCAAGAAGCACTCGTCGCTGATGAGTGTGGCGCTGAACTATCTGATTCGATACTTTTATCTGATTGTGTTTGCGGACTATTTACTCGAGGAAATGTCGACCCACCAGTGGGGAAGTGCCTGGAGACGGCGCATACGATCCCACAAGGAGCCGACTGCACCGGAGCACGAGCACAGACCGCTCCAGCCCAAGAAAATGTTTAGCGAATGGCTCAAAGACCGACGGGAGATTGCGAATATCGTGAGCCAGGCCAACCAATCGCTCGACTGATGAAATGGCTGCCCCGCCATCGAGTAGTTTGCCTGCCGACGCTGTCCCTTGGCGGGACGCAATGGTATCCGGGGTCATTCGTCTCGAATCAGTGTCCCCGTCTGTTTGGTGGATGGAATGTACCAGTCGATGCCAGAGGTGGAGCACTTTGCTCCGTTTTGAGCAACCTGCAACGAATGAGCTGCCCTCAATCCGACCTGTTCTGGGCCAGAGCTGTCGTTAATTTCTGGGCCTGAATACACGCTTATCCATCGCCTTTCATGACCAAACAGCATGTCCAAGCAGACCGGGGCGGAGCGACTCGAGGAGATCGATGGTCTTGATCTCGAGAATGCACGGAGATGTCCAAATGGCCGAATGCGGACACTGCATTACTGCATCGCGGCACCAAGCCCGGTCGAACGAGCAGATTGGCCGGATGTATTCAAGGCCATGCTCCCGAAACCAACCGAAGCCACTGGATTGCCAACAAGCACCGCAGTGCAATCCCATGGCCTGCCCACCGCGGCCTACAGATCAGCAGGCTTCACCCCAGGGCATCTCGTCCTGTTTCGTTCCGAACGAGCTGTATTTTGGAAACGTCGTGGTCCTCGGCTTGACCGCTCCAGATCACATCGGGAGCGCCGGTACTCCTGAAAACTTTGCTTCCACAAATGCCGTCAAAGTGCCGATGATCATCATGCACGTCGTTGGGGCGTGTGCTCATTGAATCATGCACGTTCGGGATGTGGCGGCGCTTTCGTTTTTCTTGGGGCCCTTGGTCGACTGCCCGTCGATGCTGTGCCGCACCTGTGTGCTTGACACTGGAGGCGGAGGCTGCTTTGGCGGCTTTGGCTGGGGTATGATGACGTTGGCCTTGACAACGGGCTGGGAAAAGCGAGCCCATGGTGTGTCAGGATGAGTACGAGTCCGATGACGGCAGAACGATCGCGGGCACTGAATCTGGCTCGACGCAGACGCTGCTTACCGCCATCCCTTCGATTTCAGAGCCCTTGAGAGGAATGCCAAGAATGTCGGCAGCGATCCGAACGATGGAGGTGCTGACCGAGTCGCCCGTCTTTGCCGAGACCAGAAAGGAGGCCATATTGTACTCCTTGGCAAACATCAGATGCCGCTCGACTGTAACTGTTCGCATGTGGATCATGTCCACTAGAATGCGGTGCAAGATCAGTCAGATCAAGAGGCCGGGGAACCACGGCGGAACAGGCGTGTCGAACCTGGCCCATCCACGACGCAGCGAGCTGATTGTGGGATTGGGATGCGAGCTGCTCGTCTACCTGCTCAGGGCAAGCCGGAGGAGGGAGCGAGTCGACTTACTCTTGTTTCCCACAAGTACCGAGTAGGGCAGCCTCACGTCAACCATGAGATGCGCTTCAGCATCAGGAGAGCCTCCGGCCTCGGCTGCAGACTTGGGTCCTCCCTCGCCATGGCTTTGTGCAGAGAGCGACAGGCTACGCTGTGCCATCGCGGAGGGATCGCTTGCCGGGGCGACAAAGCTCGCCCTATCGCCGCGCAGATAAATCTGCTTGACGAGCTCCATCCAGGCTTCCAGATGGTGAAAGGAGCCCACGTGTGTGATGTCGTAGACAAGCACCAAAGCGTCGGCTGAGAAAAGGTAGTTGCTTGCCATCTTTGAGGTCAAGATCTGGCCGCCGGCGTCCCAAAGTTGGATGGTAATCGATCGATCCCCTGTGCAGAGAGTCGGGCGAGCAGAATAAGCCGATGCGCTTGCGAAGAGGGGAGGAACGAGCCCGACGAATGAACTGCACCGAAGGCGCTCGCGATAGTAATGCGCTGGATGCCCGACCCTGCAGTACAATCCGCTTCTGAAAAAAGTCCAGTCCCAGCGTTTGATGGTACTCGGACGAGATGCAGTCTTGCGAGAACCGTTGCGCCAGGCTGGTCTTGCCCGTGGCACCATCGCCCAGCAGGACGAACTTGAGGAGTGGCTCTGGCCCTGATGGTGATACTCCGTCCAGCATTGCCTGCGTCGCTCGCGAGAGTAGTTGCTGATGGAGTGCGGGCAGAAATGGGTGGATGGATAGATAAATGGAAGAGAGGCGAGATTTGGACCAGCAAAAGGTGCAACGGTGCAGCGATGCTTGGTGGGAACATGCCCCTTGGTTCACTCTGTAGCGCGGGCCATGAGGGTTCAGCGCAATCACGACCGCTCTCGCTCGGATGGTGTCGCCAGGGCGGCAAGCCTCCATCAGACAACCAGACGATCTGGATCGAGTTTCCCTCGCCCTGTGGTCCCTGTGGTCCATCGAGGCGACAACGGCAGCAATGAGTCGACGCTCGGTTGGCGGCCCGGCATCGACCGATCTAACACTGTATTGCACAAGTTGGAGCCGATGGCCCGAGCAGCAACATCAGCTGCACACGCCACATGCAGTGCGCCTATTGTCGCAGAGATTTGGTGAGCTGGTCTCGGGCGGCCTGCAGGGCTTGAGCGATTGTCTGCTCAGCAAGAGGAATGCTCTCGCCCTCATTCTTCTTGGTAACTCGCCCGGCGACCTGGGAGGAATCCGACTCGAGGATAATGCTTTGTGCACAGCACGATGCAAGTCGAGTTACGAGACGGCGAATGGTTAGGACGGCGTTCGTGGAATGCCAGCTCGATACCGATTCTGCCCAAAGAGGCTGTCGATCCGGCACGGTCGACTATCGACTCGCCATCGACTGAAGCGATCAGCGAGATCGCCGCTATGCGTACCCGTCGTCTATTGTCTCGTCCAGGGCCAGAATGGCCAAATCCAGATTCTCGAGGATCGACCGCTTCTCTGGGGACTGCTCGCTGCAGTCACAGCGCAAACGATGGCAAGCGTGACGCAAGGAGAAGAGATGTGAGTGTGAGTGTGGCTTGATCGTATCACTTGGAGACGGTAAGGAGACCGGCTGGCGCCCAGAGGCCAAACCACACCCGCGACTTACCGGAAGAGCATGCACAGAGCCTCATAGTAGGTGTTGAGAATGCTGGCGAGAATGAGCTCGTTTTCCTCAAGAGATCCAATGATGTAGATGAAGATATCGATGTTGAACTTGTAGACGACGATCTGGTTGTCGATCATTATGATGTGGTCGCCGATCGCTGAATGCAGAGCCAGGGTGGCAGGCAGCGTTTCAGCCGGCACGAGCAAGAGTGTCAGAAAGGGACTGCTGCTGTCGGCGACGCATCCAGCTGATCTGCACCGACCCACAGCCGTGGCTGTCCAGAAGGTATATCACAATTCCAGTCTGCATCGCGAGTCTCGGCAGCCCATCAGCATCCAGCGATCGCAGTCCACGTCAGCTCAGCGAGCGGTCACGAGCTGATGATTCGAGATGGGAGCTATAGCGAGCAGCAGTGCCGAGAATCGGAGCGGCTGCGAAAAGTACCAGATGCGCTGCTTGATTTCTTGGTCTTTTCAAACAGGGTCTTTTCGAAAGCCTTCTGGTCCTTGGCGGTAGGGTACTCGGACGAGTAGTATTTTGACAACAGACGCTTGCCCTCGGAATCGAGGATAACAATGGCGTTGATGCTCTTGAGTGTCAGATTCTGGGGCCGAGGAAGAGAGCATGAGCGACTCCACTCTTGGCCAGTCCTTGCTTTGGCAACGGATGAGTTTCAAGATATGATGCATCTGTGGCGGCGATGCCACCTCGAAGCAGTCCCGGTGTTTGCAAAGAGCACGGAAACAAGTGGGTGGCATGGCAATACGGGGAGCGATCTCGCCGAAGCAGAACAGGTCTACGACCGAGGCGGCGGAGGAGAGCGCAGACAGACACCATGTGGATTGGCGGGTGCGAGCTTACAAGCGATGAGTGGACCATGGCTCCTGGAGACAAACAGATGGCAGATGCGGGCGGCGACGGAGTGTGCGATGGATGCAGCGAGAGGATGCGCTGGAGGCAGGGGCGCGACGCAAGCCGAAAGCGGAAGCGGCAAGGCGCAAGGCGCAAGACGCAAGGCAAAAGGCGCAAGACGCAAGATCGGCTCGATCCGGCTGCAGCCGCGGTCGCCAAAAAAACGCCATTGCTTGCGCATCCAAGACAGCACTATCAATTTTTTCCGGCCCCTCGCGGCTGCTCATCTCGGTCACCTGAAAGTCACGTTGTATGTGGCGCAGCAAAAGTTGGAATCCGGCCATGGCCGGTTGGCGGCATTTGGTATCACCTTGAGCCGATTGACGGTGGTGGTGGGCGACTGGTGTGGAGGAATGACCAATTGTATCATTGTTGGAAGCTCCACTCCGATTGCGGACAAGAACCACCACCATCTGAATCTCTCTGGTTGGAAACCTAGTCAAGCGTGGCTGTGTGTCAGCGAGATGACATGATCGTTTGGCTATCAGGCAAGACTCACCTTGACAAGATGTTTTCCCACGACTGATTGAGCGAGCGATGCGTTTCTGGATCCGAATCAAGGACGCCACTGCACAGTATCTCTGCCAGCCCAAAATGCGCTGGTTTTGAGGAGATTCTCTCTTCCCCAAGGGCAGAACCAGCCATCGCTGCTATTTTCTCGCCAGATGGCTCCCAAGCGAAAGACACCAGCCAGGCGACCAAGTGGATCCAGAGCACCCACAAGATCCTTGGTCTGCAGCAATGGATGAGCACCACACCAAGTCCCAAGATCCCTGGGTTGGATCCCTTCCTGCGATACATTCGCCATGTGTTCGATGGAGACATGCTGGACAAGCAGCTGTACTTCAGCCTGACCCGGCGACGGCGATTCAAGCGACTCGATCTCTACAGCAAGCGACAGCGCACCGTCCACGAGATGTGCAAGCAAGTCATCGACCAGGCACCAAAGGAGACCGAAGTGGTGATTGCCTTTGGGAATGCCTCGTGGAAGCAAGGGAAGGGATACGCATCCAGTCCCAGGAGGCTCAGGTTCGCCAAGTATTTCGAGCAATTCCACCATCACCAGAGACGCCCACCAGACCGATCCGTCTCCAAGATCCATGTGTGCTCGGTGAACGAGTTCAACACATCCCAGGTGTGCTCACATTGCCAGGAATTCAAGCGACTTGAGTCACCCGAGTATCTTGATATCGATTCACCACACTTTGTCCGGAGCTGTGCAAGCTGCCATACGCTGTGGGATCGAGACATCAATGCAACCAGGAATATGATCTCGGTATGCCAGTCGATCATCGCCACAGGAGATCGGCCGGGTGTATTCAAGACCATGCTTCCCAAACCAACCCAAACAAAGAGATTGCCAACGAAGACAGGAGTGCAATGCCATGGCCTGCCCGCTGGGCCTACAAGTCAGTCAGCGGGGTTCAGACATCTGAAGCCAGAAATGGGATCTGTCCCGTTTCTTTCTGGATAGACTGTAAGCATCTTGTTCCTTGTGCATTTCGACAGTGGATGCCGGGTCGCCCATATTCTGGGCAGTCCACTTCGGGGTTGCCGTCCCTCTTGGGATGGTCGATGGGAGGTGTTTGACTCCCTTGTGCAAAGTGTGTGTGTGTGTGTGTGTGTGTGTGTGTGTGTGACGGCGAGAGGCTTCTCGCCTTCCCTCGGGGGTCTCTCGCCAGAGACTGCTCTTCTCGCCTTCCGAGGTGGCTCCGAGAGCGCGTTTTTTCGTTCTCGCTCATTTTTTTAACAAGAAATTTTTTCATAGTGCAGGCGCCAAACATCTGCAACCGCATCGGCATCGGCTTCTGCAACCGCATCTGCATCTGCAACCGCATCGGCATCGGCTTCTGCATCTGTCGAACGTCGGCTCACTGCTCAACGCTCGTCGCCTCCTCCCCCGGCACCCTTCCGTTCTGCACCAGCCGTTTCCCAGCCAGTCCCAGCCAGTCCCAGCCAGCAGCGCCCAACTGCCGTCCCAGCAACAGCTTCGACCATGTCTGCCTCAACACCAGCTGCCATGGCTCCGACCTCGTGGAGGCGCTATATCCCTTCAAGGGGATGGCTCATCTTCTTGGGCATCACCTCCTCGATTGCCTCCGCTGCCCTCTACGACAAGTACCAACTCAAGATTGTCCGCGAAGATCTCAAGAAGCGAGCCTCGCAGCTCGCAGCAATGCCGATGGATACGCGAGAGACCCCCAGAAAGGTCCTCGTCTATCTGGCGCCCTCTCAGTGGGCTACGTATTCGTTCAAAGAGTTTGTCAAGCCCGGTACGTTGTCATGAAAGCCACCTTGAGCCGGAGCATGTGACGGAACAGCGCCGATGCGATCTCGGCAGCGATCTCGGCAGCGATCTCGGCAGCGATATCGATGCGTTGGTTGTTTCCCACACGAGTGCAGTCATGGGCATTCCTGTTCAAAACACAGGCGACTCCGATCTCGCTGCAAGGCCAAATGCGCATGCACCAGTGGTTGGGTTTGGTGCCAACCCCACTGGCGCTTGAATCGGCGTCGCTGGACATGAAAAATGTCTAACCGTTTCTTCGTAATCGCCCCCTCGTTTATCTTGGTTGCTTGGGTACGTCAGTTTTCGATGCCGCCGCCCTCGATTACGAGATCCTGGAGCCGTCCAAGCCCCATATTGTCCGAAAGGCCATGCGCGAGCTCATCTGGCGTGGCAAGGAAGAGCAGATCGAGCGGGAGGAAAAGTACCGCCAAGCCGTTCTGGCTGCACCAAAGACGTGGTTTGGCGGCCGTATCCCTGTGGAGCTGGAGGAGGAAGACAACCCTGTCTTGGCACACTCGTACCGCTACTCGTCCCGGCGGGCTTTGGTCGCTGTCGGCCCCGAGGCCTGGGGCGAGCTGCTGGCTGGCCTTGAGGAAGGATCGCTGTCGACTCGTCCGCCGCCCAAAGAGCTCACCGAGACTGAGCTAGAGCCCGCGGAAACCGCTGCCGATGCAAGTCTCTCCGAGGCCGACCGCAAGAAGAAGGAGACCGAGCGGCAACAAGAACGACAACGGCGGGAAGAGCAGGAAAGCTTGCATCCCCAACTCGAGTTGGCACAGTCCAACCTGCCTCCCCAGTTTGCCTTCCCCATCATTTCGTTCGTCCCTGGCAAGAATCTGACGGGTTTCAAGAACTTCCCCATGCGCATCGCCGGCTGGTTCAACCAGCGTGCGACGGCCAAGGAAGTTGGAGAGGAGGCTCTCAAGATCGTCTTTGAGAAAACGAGAGCTTTTGACTCGGACCGGGATTACTACTTGGGACACGAGCACCTTCCCCAGGACCAGTGGCCATCGAAGCCCGATCCTGTCATTGCCGAGAGACTTTCGGTGTATGCTTAGAATGGAATACGAAATGTGCCTTCTCTCGACAATGTCCTTTGAGCACACGCGGACACCCCTCGTCCAGAGCCTGCAATATAGTCTACCTCGACAGCCCAAGATTTTCGCCGCCGATGAGGATGACAATGACGAATAGTGCGATGGTCTATGCAGTAACGACACTTTACCGTCGGCATGATGGTGATGGCCGAGGGGGGGGGCGAACTGTCGTCATTTTGATGGTTTGTCATATCGGTGTTGGCCCAAGAACTTGGTTACAGTGTGCAAGTCGCTCATGGGATCGGCCGGCGGGATGCGTGAACATTGCAGCCAAAGCCACTGGCATCAACGGCGGCAGGATGGGAATGATTTGATGAGGCCCCTGATGCGTATTTCCCAACTCTCTTCCTCAGCCATGATCATATGAGTGGACTGTATTTGCTGCTTCTCTAGAGAGCTGTGTTTGCTCAATGCAGTGCATGATGTCAGAGAACTTGTGCGCCTATGTGTCTATCGATAACAAGCCCACATCGACCAACGCACCGATAAAAGTCCCTCGCGAAGGTTTATTCGCAGAAACCCAGTGCCCAGCCCCAGAGCGGTATTCACATGGTGCCATCCTCAGCACCGAGGCAACGCTCGGATAGCCAGCTAGTCTCAACTTTGGAAACGACCCTCGGAAAGAGCCAGCGGCTGTTGGTGATGGCACAGGCGCGCCCTTATGATGTGCGGGCTTTGCCGTCAAGCTACATCTTCTCCAGCCCCATTTCGGTCGTGAGGTCAGCGTTCATCATCTGTGGCTCCCAGCTGTGACTCCAGTATGTTATCGATACCGTCCGCTCTGTTGTGACAAGGGCCTTGCATCGTTCGACGTTGAACATGCGAATGTTGGTTGCAGCGCAGACCTGGTAGTGCGGAGAGATGTTGCTCCAGTCGTACGGAAACACAATGTCTGCGGGGGGTGGGTGGGGTGGAGGTGACAAGTACTGTCAAATGTATGCGTGGGCGGCCTCTCGATGCGAAGGGCTGCCCGATCGGTGCCGATGGATCGCTCGATTATATGCCGATCGACCGCTCGATTCCACCCTGCAAACCCTTGGGACATGATGCACACACGGCTCAACGTCATGGGACTCACTCAGTCGCTGCCTACCTGCATCTGCGATGAATACCGGCTCTCGCTGAGCCAGAGGCAGCTGAATATAATTCAAAAAGACTCGATGGAGCATGGCAGGACCGGTGACATACTCGGCGTTGACGCTCAGCCAGGGATCTCCATGGCTGCGACGGTGCTCCATGGTGTTCATGATGTCTTGCAGACAGTGCATCCAGTAGGAATGATTGGGCTTGGATGCCATCCAGGCATTAGGCAGGCTGTGCTGCCACCAGGGACTGATCTGAGTGCCCATCTGGCCCAGAATCAGCTCGCGACCTTCCACCAGGTCGTCAAGGGGCCTCAGGGACTCCATGTCGAGGTCAGCATAGACTGGGGTACCAAGTCATCGATGGCCATCCAATAGTTGAGCCAAACGACCGGGTCATTGGAGTCCCATCAAGTCCAAGACACGACCGGCATCACCAAGCACAGATACATGTCAGGTCAGAATACGAGTGGAAGACGATCAGCTGGGTTAGAAAATAGCCTCACTTGCCTCGTGGGAAACAGAGACCCAATCGGCGTCCATCTCATCACTGCATCGAGAGACTGGCACCAAACGTCGTCTGCCATTGACAGGACACACCCAGATTCTCCGAGTCGGTCGGCTCGATGCGTTCAGCTCTCGCACATCGCCAACAGCATCGTATGATCTTTGGGCCAGGGCGGCTCTGGACAGCGGGCACCACCAGCCGCCAGCCGCCATCCCGCTCTGACGATTACCTCCTCCGTATTTATGCATGTAGATATATCGGGCTGCGTCAGCGCGCATAATTGGCTTTGGAAGCGAGTCATAGGTGCTCAGGAACCACGGATAGTGGTGACTAACGAGATTGCGGTTCTCCTCATCGGTCCAGAGGATATAGGTCCAATTCGGATGGTTGGCTTTCCAGGTGGCGGACCAGTGCTCGAATTTCTGGAAGGATGGCAGGGCGCGATTGTCCGGTCGAGCGACATGACATGGCGAAGAGAGCGAGGAGGTGAGGAGAGAGCGTGTTCGAGCTGCATCGACAGCAACAGTGGCAGTGGCCGATTCGAGTGTGCATTGGCCACGGGCGGAACGATGATACTCGCAAGCATAACGCAGGACGGGTGATATCGAGAGTCACTCCGCGTGCAATCGTCAGCACCCACGCAGCGACACGAACCGTGGGCAGGCAATCTGTCTTCCAGCTCTGGTGAATGATCTTTGGAAACGGCCGCCGCGCCTCGTCGAGCATGTCGGGTGTCGACTTTGATATGTAGGCGACATCAATCTTGCGGAAATGCGGCCGCAGATGGATCACGATGAAGACCACAGCAAGGACGATGGTCAGTCTGCTCAAACACCGCAGCACCGGCCGATACAGCCGCAATTCATTGACGGCGAGCAGCTGGAGAATCACGGGCTTGTGGCCGATCTTGTAGTATTGCGGCAGCAAGGGTTTCATGGCTGCGTTGGCTCGATGGCGGATCGGGGTCGTGGAATAGAATGCAGGTCAGGCGGCAGAGTAGCTTGAGAGGAAAAGGCCAGAATCTCTGTCGTCGAGAAGAGATCCGATCGGACAAGGGCGCTGCGACCGCCGGACGAGACTGATACGCAGGGAGGATATGATTGTCGGAAGCCGCGACTGCCAGGAGCAAGCAGCGAAGAGGCCGAATCGCGCTGTGATGCGTCGATCGGGCGCTGTGGTGGAAATCGGGTGGATGCCGGTGGCAAACGGGCTCTGCAAATCGATCCGACCGGGCGAGGAGGCCGTCCCTGGCTCAGGCGAGGCCGGACTGGCTGGGGCCAAGATCGAAACGATGGTGTTGCTTGGGGCGGCGGGGTTTCCCGCCATATTTTCGGGATCCTGGCATCGGCGCAGAGCGCCGCTGTTTCCCGCCGCTCCTCCAAAGGCTGCATATCCTGGACCGACGGCATCGGCGGGGACAGGACGGTCTGTTGAAAAGGACAACTCTTGAGCACACCGCACGGCCGTGTCGGTTCGTGTTGGTGTGTGTGGCATGGCCGTGCATATCTCGGATCAATGCCATGGGCGACGGCAATGGTGCGCCATGAAGAGTCCATGACTGTGCTGGTAGATGATTGCCGACGGCGATCCAGATCCAAATCCAGATCCAAATCCAGATCCAGATCCAGATCCGCAGCATGGCGCATCACACCGGGTCCAGCACGCAGCACGAGTCACAGCCGGAATCAGTCCATGGAAGCCTCCATGATGGACATCTCTCTAGGGGCGCAGCCCCGATTCGTCCTCAGTTCCGAGAATTCAAGAGCGGAAAGGGCTGTCGCGAGCCCACAGGCGGAGGGATGCTGTTGTTGGGTGGCCAAAGATCCACCCGGGTCTCTATTTGGGCTCAAATCATAGTAAGTCGGCGTGGCCGCCTCGTTCGCCCGGCACGATCAGATCAGGGTTTCGGCTCGGTCACGGAATCCGACTTGGCTGGTTCCGCCGCAATCACTCTGCCAAACATCGGTCCTTGCTCGATCCACAACCGGTGGTTTGACTCGGCAGCTTCCTTGTATGTTCCGTCAAAACTGCCCATTTGTCCGTCCAGCTGCCCGTCCTGATAGAGACAGAAAGGGTTGCCTTCATGGGGCCATGTCCAGCGATGCGTCGTCCAGGTGATATCGGTCGACCAGTGGGTGACGTTGAGGGTCTTCGTTTTGCCAGCAACATCGTGGCGATCAAAGACGAGTCCTCCGTTCATCCAAAACGGATGGCCAGTGTCGTCCTGGTGGAAGAGACCGCCACATACGCCGTTGTCGGGGGCCAGGTACCCGGCAGCCCCACCGCCATGGCGCTCAAAGTAAAATGGTTGCCGCATCATTTCAAAGGCAATCCAGAACAACTCCTTGTCGCCTTTGGTGTTAGATGGAGAAGTAAATACCGTGTGGGGTGAGTGATGCGAGTGTCAATACTCAACCAGGTCAAGAAGTCTGGTCGAGTTGCCGAGCCGAGCCAAGGAGTGGAGATTGCGTCTGGAAATGCAACCGCACTCGGAGTTGCTGCTGGTGATCTCGTGCCCCGGCAATCTCGTCACGCTCATGCAGCATCACAGTACGCTTGCCAAGGCTGATCTTACGACAAACGCATTTGGACGAGGCAAGATCTAGATCTCTGCTCGCATCCGAGCCGATCTTGCCGCCAGCGAATAGGTACCCACCATAAAAGGCGCTCCAGAGCGGACCACGGAAGTGATTGCCGTTCAGCAATGCGATCAAGAGGAGCTCGTAGAAGTTCTTGCTCTTGTCGATGGCAACAACGCCCGAGTCGACCTCGTGGTCGCTGAGGCCCAGGTAAACTCGGCTGTTCTGCGTCACGTATTCGGATGGCGGCCAGACCAGCTTCCGGAGCATCTTGAAGGGCATGTTGCGGCCCTTGGATCCGGGGTTGTGTGTGGTTCGATCACGGAAGAGATAGATGCCGGTTTGCTGGTATCCCTTGAACCGGAAGATCGCCTTGGGGTCCTGGAAGAACAATATGTCGGCATCGATCAGGATGGCCTCCTTGAACGAGCTCGCCATCAGGGCGTAGGGCTTGTACGCAAAGGTGGTAACGGCGACGGCGACGGGGTCGATAAAGTCATTCAGGTTCTTGACCACGAGATTGGGGATCTGGGCGAGGAGCTTGATGTTCTCGGCATCCTTGGCCGTGCCGACGCTCGTGTAAAAGACCTCGATTGGGAGGGTCGAGTTTACCGAGAAGCGAATGCTGCGAACGGTATGGTAGGCAAACTCAAAGTGGCCCAGACCGCAAGTGAGGACGATGCCCTTGTCGACGATGTAGGAGTTCCTCATGCTCTGGATCGACTTGAATTGGCGCTTTCGATCGATGAAGGGGAAGAGGCGCTCCTCGAGCTCCTGGATGGCAAGCCGCAGCGCAGGAACGTCTGGATCATGGATGTTGGCAGCACGCACAGGGAAGCCGACGAGCTCCTTGTACAGCGACATATGGCGAATCAGGCCGTTGTAGTCGTTCAAAGCAAGGGCGGATTGCTTCTCGGTGCTCCATCTGTCCAGCAGCTTGGTGATGCCCTCGGCACTGGGAACCGGAGCTGGTTTGGTGGGGCTCGGTTCGGGTGGGCTTGGTTCGGGTGGGTTTGATTCGGGGAACTGGTTCTTGTCCTCTGGCGTCGAGATCGGTTTGAAGCCCATGACGAAAAACAGTGCCACGACCGACAGGACAATTACGGCGACAAGCAGCCTGAAGCGTCTTGTCGAAAGCATGATGCAGCGACGGTGCCGACGAGCGGTATCGGGTTGTTTGGGCTGGTGGAGGAGGAGGGAGGAGGGATGGATGAGCTGGCGATGCTTCTGTGGAAAGCGTTGGGTGCTATCGGGCGGGAATCAAGCAGGACAACGGATCAGCGAGACGCTTGGAGCCCGGGGGATGAGCAAGAGGACGACCGAGTCGATGTCGGATGGATGCGATGGATGCGATGGGACGACCGAGTCGATGTCGGGTGGGATGGCCAAGTGTTCCAAACCAGCCGATGGGCGGCGGCAGCGAAAACGGCTTCCAGCACGGGTCTTGGCCCCGGCGCGAGGACTCCCTTGTGCGATGCGCGTGTGCGCCCTGGGCGGTGGCACAGCGTGGCCGTGGCAGTGCGCGCCCCTTGCGATAGCGTGGCACGGACGCGTTGCGTGCGCCGCTGTTGTTGTCGCCGCCTGTTTGTGTTGCCGCCGCCGCCGCTTTTGCCCGCCGCCACTGTTGCTGCGTGCCTTGCCTGCACGCCCACGTGCCAGCCGGATGCATTCGATCCGCCCGCCCGGCTGGATCCGGCACCGTCGCCGTCGCTCTCGTCTCGCTGCCGTCGTGTCCACACCCAAGCTCCACCATCTTCCAAGCGCAACCACGCCGCCGTCGCCAACATGAAGGTCCTGATGCGTGCTGCCGCGGCGCTGCTGCTGCTCTGGGGTACTGTGCAACCGCATGCATTGCGTCTTGATTCTTACGGATCCGCATGGGTGTGCGTCTGTTTGCCCGTCATCATGCATCGAGCTGCGTCGACTCACTCGGCGCCAAACCCATTCCACAGCCCTGTCGCTCCAGACCGCCATTGCCCAGTCTGCCGACATCAATACCCTCAACCGAGCGATCTATCAAGGCATCAGTGTCAGTGGATGCACCCGGATACTCAACGCCTCCGGAACGACAGGATGTCAGAGTGCGTCTCGTTTCTCTTGCTGTTGCTCTCCTGTTTGCCTTTCCCCTGGTCTGGATGCAAACAATCATGACGGTTCCGATGCCATTGCACGGAGCATCTGCTTGGAAATCCCGCCAAGCCGCTCGAGGGCCAAGCGCACATCAGACTATTCGATCCAGTCGTGTCGATGGGCTGGAGCACTGACTCGGTGCCTCTCCAATATCATCATCCCCGACAGCCTTCGGCGCCGTTGGCGTCCTCTACATGGCTGCCACCCAATCCGACGTCGATGGCTTCTCCTCAAACACCCCTGCTGGAAGCTATGCCGTCGTCCTGAGCTACAGTTTGCTATCCAGGTATGCTGTTGAATTCCGATGGCCGTGTCTGCAGCGACGAGAAGAGACAATCGCGCTGTAGCTTTATTCTCATGCCATCTCCATCGCCATCGCCATCGCCATCGCCATCGCCATCTCCATCGCCATCGCAGCCAGAATCTGCTGACACTCCGAAACTCGGGCAAGCTCGCGGGCGTTATTCTTATCAACAACGGAACGAGCGCCCAGGTCGCTCCTCCCCTCACTGTCTCGGCCGACTCGACGTGCCCCGGCTGTCAATTCGGTCTCTATGCCAACGACGGCCCATACTATTCGTGGAATCCCAAGGTTCGGTGGTGTCTCTGTCTCTGGGCGGGATTCGTCTGGCCGTCGCTGTCGGACCCAAATACGCGCACACAAGCACTCTGCATCATATGGTTGACTCTGACTCTGATGGATCCGATCAACCGACAACGATACCGTCGTTTGTTCGATTCGGCCCTGCTCGCGCTTGGGAATTGCGTCTGCTGCATTATGAACTATTTAGGGAAGCGGATTGATGTTCCAGAGCTTCGACTATCCAATCGTTGCCATTTGGGCACACGATCCCGGGTCTGTCCAGAGTCTCGGCACTCTGGTCGAGGTTCGTGATGCTCCTGGTTGGCTCATTCTGCTGTGCTCCACGAGAATGGGGGTTGGGTTGGGTTTGTGGAAGTAACCGTCCTCCTGGGTCTCGCCGTCGTCAAGGCCACAGCCTCCAACCAAGCCAGCGGATATGCGCAAAATCCGCTCTATTATGTGCAATTCGACGCAACCATGTCGGCGGCTGTCGATGCGGCAACATGTCTGAGAAGAGGTACATTCCCCCTGCGAGCACATACTCTGTGCATATCTCTATACATCCGCCTTCCCACAACCGCCACCCACGCTCTCTCTGGGTGGACATAATCTGATCTATTTGCTGCCATTCAGGCACCTGTGATCCGATCGGAGATCATTCGGTCTGGTCGACGTTCTCGACCAACATCACCCGAAATGACGGCAAGGGAATCATTGTGGTCTCTTCTCGGATCGACAGTGTTTCCTTCATCCACGATTTTTCGTTTGGTGCCGATGCCACCCGTGCCGGCCTTGTCGTATCGATGGCGATTGCAGACGCTCTGTCAAAGGTCTGTCCGGCGCTTGCACCCTGCCGTGCCACTGCTGGAGGAATGGTCGTCTATCTTACTCGCATGGCAGCAGCCAAGCGCTTTCTGGCACTAATCGCAGTCTGTGCACTGGTTCATAGTCGCCCACGCCTATGTACCAAATGGCCAAGCATGTCCTCTTCACCTATTTTGATGCCGAGTCGTGGGGTCTCAGCGGATCGGAGCAGTTTCTGAACGACATTTCGACACCATTCAAGTGTCTTGTCAGCAACCCATCAGCGACAACGGCTGCGTGTCCATTCACCGGCATGAACTGCAGTCAGCCGTGCTTTGTGAACACCGAGTTTCAGCGCCTGGACTCCAGCAAGATCGAAGCCTGGATCGAGTTCGACCAGATCGGCAACCTGGATCAAGTCATCAATGATTCCGGCCCGAGCATCTCCAGCAACATCTACACCCACATCAATGATGCCTCTGACGCGGCCACGTTGCAACTCGAGAGCATGTTTCTCAACAACCCGAATCTGCCGCCTGTGTCCTTCAACAAGTCTGGCCAGGTTTCGGTAACGATCCAGACCGCGCGATCAGCCACAAGCAACCTGCGGCTTCCTCCATCCAGTGCCATGTCTCTGCTCAAGCGGCGGAACGTACCCAGTATCGTCTTTGCTGCTTACCGCGACAGCTATCCAGAGTGAGTTTTCCTCCGATACCCGAACTGCCTGTGCCGCAGTCCCCCTGGTTGATCCATCCCGCCTAGTATATGCGTCAAGTCTGGTCTTGCACTTGCCAGCACCAACGACAGCCGCTCACCGCGTCTGTTGCTCAGCTACTTCCACAGTGAATACGACAACGGCCTTGCCTGGAACAGAGCCCAAGTTGCTTCGCTCTGTGCCTTCGCCAACGCGACTGCCCGTAATGTCTGGACGCTGGCCTCTGGCAACAACACCACTGCTCCTCCGAGCGTCAGTGTGAACTGCACCTTGGTAAGCTGGGCATCGCCCATGGCAGGCACGTTGCTTGTGAAGTTTGGTTCTTTCGCGGGGCCATAGAGTTGGCGTGCTTGCTCACGTTGTTGCTGGGCCTGGCTCACCAGCCGATTCTTGGCGATGGCTGCGTAGGGAAGACTGCTAGTGCAATGCATTCTTACTTTTATGAACACTGTCTACACCCCTTCGCCTTGAATGTGTGTGTTCCTGCTATGTCTCAAAGGTGGCCAGTCTGCTGGACTGCATGACCCGAAACCTCTCGTGCAGCACGCTTCAACCACTCTGGGCTAATCAAAGTAAGTACAGCCTCCAGACGGATTGTGCGAGAGAGGCTTGGATTCCGCAGAAGCAGTGGTTGTGAAGAGCGAGCGCAGATAGCCCCATGGGCGGTCTATGCTCGGTTTTGGTGCATCTGCTTGTGACTCGGCCGTCGGTGCCGATACCGACGTTTACTTCAATGGCATGCCCAAGGCCGCAGCCAAACTCGATCTCACGCTCGCTCCGGTCCTGCTGCGGCTGCCAGTCTCAGGTGTGCCGACGACGAGCTCGGACTACGCCTCGGCCTTCCAGTACGACCAAAGTCTCCAGCTGATGCCCTACATGATCAATCAGTTCATGTTCAACATCACGGCCACAAGCCGCATATCCAACTGCTCAACGAGCCAGGACTGCAGTTATGCGAACGGCTACCAATGCATCGCAAATAGCTGCATCATGTCGCGCACGCACTACCACTACGCCTACAGTCCAGGTATCGCCAAGGATCCGAACTCTGGCCTGTGGGTCGTGGCGGATGCAACCAAGCCTACCTGGACTGAGAGCCGGTAAGTTCTTGGAAATCTCTTGGCCTTTGTGTCCGCAGTCAAAGGAGCCGATCGTGTTTTATCCTGAAGCGCCAATGAAGGCCAGGTCAGACTCTGGCGCTCCCACCGCTTCTTTGGCTGACTCTGTCGACTCTGTACGGCTGGCCGCTGTCGCTCAGATGGAACAACATACGCATTCGTGTCTTCAAGAGCTCCTCGCTTGCGTACCAGTGGATCGAGTTGGTAGTTGGTGTGGTCCTGACAGCCGTCACCGTCGCGGCAACGCTCTGGGCACGCAAGCTGGTGAACAAGCACTTCAAGACCGATTAGTCGATCTCGCCCGCGACTGGTGCTGCCATGCAACGTATGAGGAGGAGGCGGAGCTGGATGCAGCGTACTCAAAAATGAAATAGACACCCTGCTTTGAGCCAGGGCTGTCGCTTGTTTCTGGGTCCTGAATACACCCATCGGTTGCTGCGCTACGATGCTGCAGTCCGAGTCGCTGTACAGTATGGAACCGCGATCTCAATGTAATTGTGGAGGCCAGCGGGCAACGAGAGGACCGGACTGTGTGGATCTCTCTGCGGCCTCCGTTTGGCACATGAGCAAACGGGGCGCCACACCCGCTTCCATGAACATGAAGTATGTGATGGCTTGCGTCAAGTTGAGCCATAAGAAGGGCGATGTGGATGGCGACGGTGCGCTTGAATTGCTCAGAGTACCGAGCAAACCGCTGCCTCCTGGGACTAGATGCATTGCCCTTGCCTTGACGCCATGACACATCGCCAGCGGTGAATGGCGGTGCTCTTGGACACACTGGCGAATGGTCATGGCCAGTGCGCGATGGTATTGGGAACAAGTTATTCGGTCATTGACCAATAACCAAACGAGAGCACACCCAGATGGCAAGCCAGTGCCGGCCAGCTTGACTGGAACCGCGCCGTGGCCAGCCACACGGGTGGCTCGATCCGTCGTGCAGCCGGCTTTTGCGAGATCTCGTCTTCTCTGCGGCTGCCCGTCTCGATTCCTCCTTGATCCGCAGAGGCCCATCAACGCACCGCCGACAGCGAGACCTCACCGAGCAGCGATCTGCGCAGACACCCCGCCGACAGCCGAGTACCCAGAGGCGCTGTGTACGATCTCTCGTTTCTGCGCTCCAGCCGATCACTTGCAAGGCTCTCTATTAGCCAGCCGCCCCGCTACTTCGATAAGGGATCGACGACACTCCGACCCTCGACATGGCACCAACGCCCGAAACATCGCACCCGCCCAAGACCGCGGATCTGGGCTTCTTTTCATCTGGAGCCGAAGACCCGATGCTGGTCGACGGGCCCGATCAAGCCACAGAGCCACCTGCGGCAGAGCTTGAGGCAGCCCTGCCGGCCGCTGACCAGGATTCCGAGGCCGTCGCCGGCACGAGCGCATCGTCCAGGGAGCGACCCGAGATCTTTGCGCCGACGCTCGGCGAAATCGAAAGCGACGAGATCACCAAAGTGGCCAGCCTCAACTGGGGCCTCGATCTCGCCGACGAAAGCATCCGCTTCGACACCGACCTTGCCCGGCGGATCTGGGAGAGCGAGCTACTTGGGACAGACTTTTCGCTCAAAAAGATCATGCTCCTGGAATACAGCCAATACCTCGAAAGGGTAAGCTGGCTCTGCATCCGCCACCGACAGCCGCAATATGCAATTCTGCTCTCGCTGTGCATCAGATGGCCTGTGGATACGGGCCCCGTGCAGAGCGGCTGACCTGTCGCTAACCTCCATTTCCATTCCAGTATCTGTGGCCCGGTCTGAAGACCGAGGAGACCCTCGACTTTCACGTCCTCTCGATCATCGTCATCATCAACGAAAAGTTCCGAGAGCGAGTAACCGGGGTCTGGGACGTCGTCACTGCCGACAAGGCCAAGTTCGCGTCATTCTTTGCGCATACCCTCCGGCTCATGATCAATCCCGAGGGTCTGTCGCTCAAGGTCGAGCGTTTCTTGGTGACATTCCTTATCAATGCCTTTGCATCGCTCGAAAACAAAGTCATCCGCTCTGTGTGCCAGCCTCTGGTTGGCATCGGGATTTGGGTCTCGCTCGCCGATGGTCGACGAGAACTTGAGTTTGGGCGCCATCGCCCGATCCAGGACCTGTGGAAGAAGGCCGAGGACCAACTGAAAAAGTCAAAGAGTAAGGCAGCGACTCTCCCCTTGCAGACAGAGCCAAAGCCATGGGGGTGGATGTGATGCGCATCCGATCTGCTCCGTCTGCTGTGCAGCTGCTGACCCATCTCCTCGTTCCGGCCGTGGCTACACAGACAAGCCCAAGATCCAAGCTGAGCGAGTGTTCTTTTCCAGGCTCGTCCAGCACTTTTACGATATCCTTGAATCAATCCCAAAGGCGGGCAAGACGCCCAAGGATACGGTGTTGTACTGCGAGCGCTTCCTTGAGCTGATGATCGACATTGAGGCTCAGCTTTCGACCCGCCGCTTTGTCAACGTGCTGCTCCATGATCACCACTTTGTGGCTATATGCCAAGCCAGCGCCCTTGCGAGTCGAGGACGAGAAACCCAGCACATCAACCGCGATCTGAGAGACTCTTTCAGCCGACACGAGGCCACCGAGGACGGTGATCTGTTTGTTCAGCTGTTGGACAAGCTGGAGCACTACACAAAGTTTGAAATCGATGACTACAAGGGCATCGCGCTCTCTGACGCCGACATGCTCAACCAGCACTATCGCCAAATCCACCGACTACAGAAGCTGGCATTCGCAAAGTACCGCGATGTGCTCGAAGAGTTTGCCCTCGCCAACGTCGGCAGCATCGAGTCGCACGAAGGCTTCACGAAGCATTTTTCCAAGCTCGACCACGAGACCCTGATCAAGTTCTGCCGGGACATTGGCGTGCGCGCGGAGAAGCTTGGCGGTGGCAAGTTCTACAGCAGCGAGTTTCTGTGCACCGTCTTGGAGCGCACGTACTGCAAGCGCAAAAGCCAGATCGAGGCGATCAACTCGACGCCTCTCTATCCCAACGAGGTACGTTTGCCTCCAGCGAGGCTGTCGAGTGGCGGGTGACGGATGCCCAGGCGCCATCATGGCGCAAACGTCAACGTGCCGATCGTGAGGACCAAATCACACAGTCTTGCGGTTCCTCCCAGGCTTTGCCTATTCTGCGTAGCCTTGTATCCGCTGCGCGGGAGTCCACGAACCTGCCATCTTGTGCATTTCTGACTGACTGCCGTTTACCGTCCCTTTGGCTCAGATCGCTCTGTTCGATGAGGTCACGGTACCCAACGAGCAGTATTTTTCGAACGACCACTGCCTGGCGATCCCGAAACTTAACCTGCAGTTCCTGACCGTACACGACTACCTGCTGAGGAACCTCAACCTGTTCCGGCTCGAGACCACGTACGAGATCCGCCAGGACATTGAAGATGCTGTGCAGCGGCTCTCTCCAAAGTACAACCCGGACGCCGGCAACAGCACCTCGACCGTCTTTTCTGGATGGGCTAGAATGGCGGTTCCGGTCACAGAGGTAAGCGAGGTGGTGGACGTGCTGCTCACTACGGGGGTGCCTGCGGGTCCAACATCGCGCTGGAGCGGTGGCTCGATGATGCTCATCCTATGTCGTCGCTCTCAGTTCCGAATCCGAACTGTCTCGGAACCCAAACTCGGGGAGGTCAAGCCGGCATATGTCACCGCAGACGTGAGCTTTTCCCTCCAAAAGTACTCCGAATCGATCCAGCGTGAATGGGACACGCTCCGGCCCCATGACATTGTCTTTTTGATCGGCATCCAAATGGAGCCTGAGCTCTTGGGCTGGAACCAGCGCAAAGAACGCCAGAGCAAGACCCGTGCCGGTACCAACTTCCGACGAACGTTCGGCATCAAGTACATTCGCGGCGGTGAGGTCGGCGATTTTGTCGACGACAATGGTCGGCCCCTCGACGAGAGCGCTGCCCTCCCTGGCACCAGCGACGGCAGCGGCGACAGCTTCACTCGCAAGCCTTTCAGCGAGCGGCCCAAGCCCAAGGGCCACCGCCGCAATCTCCGCATCTTCCTGGACACCAACCAGTATCAGCTCGATTTGCATCACCAGAAGCAAACTGGCGCTGATGTGTATGGGACCCTGAACGTTCTCATGCGCAGAAAGCCTCAGGAGAACAACTTCAAGGCTGTGCTGGAGACTATCCGCGACCTGATGCAGAGCGATCTCGTTGTGCCCAACTGGCTCGAAGACATCTTTCTCGGATACGGAAACCCTGGCAGCGCTGCCTGGAGCGAGATGCCGGAACCCGTTCGCACGATCGATTTCCGCGACACCTTTCTGGACTGGAGCCATCTTGCCAGCAGCTTTCCGGGCAAGGTAGGCGGCGCACAGTGGTGATCTCGCTGAACAGCCAAGTGGCCCCTCAATTGTGCTGTCCACTAGCTCAGCCTTCTATCAAGCCGTGTGTGTCCTCGGCCTGTCTGGAATCGCGCCTCTGACTGCGATATCTTTGATTTCATCTGCAGAAACTCGTGGCATCCAGCGATGGCAACACTGACGACGATGGTAACATTCGCCCGCCCTTCATCATTACCTTCCCGCCTGGACTCTTCAGTCACAAAAATGGCAGCTTGGAGGCATCTGTCTCGACGGGTGCAAAGCGAAAGCTGCCCGAGCTGCAAGACCTCGATGAAAGCATGGATGTCGATGAGCCAGATCAAGATGGCCTCGCAGTCCGCACATACAAGCCGCTCAACATGGGTCCGTACCCCGAGAACATTCCAAAGAAAAACGCCGTGCCCTTCACATCGTCCCAAGGTAAGGGAGATAGGTCTCGGAGATCCAATGCCGACGATGCAGGAGGCACGACCGACTGCTGGAATGGTATCTGCCAGTACCCGTCTAAAGACGAGAACATGGGATTGATGTCAAAGGCATTGTTGTGTGGTATCGGCGAGTTGTCAAGACAGTTGAAGGTCGGCTATATGCCAGATAGCCCATGAAAAGTGGATTCAGAGTACTGATCCACATTCGGTGTTGACGCCATCGCTTCTTGCGTTCACAGTCCAGGCCATCCATTCGGGCACTTCGCTTGGCCTCACCATGATTGTTGGCCCTCCGGGAACTGGCAAGACCGACGTTGCCGTCCAGATCATCGCCAATCTCTATCACAACTACCCCGAGCAGCACACGCTGCTGATCACCCACAGTAACCAGGCCCTCAACCAGCTCTTTGAGAAGATTGCTGCACTCGACATCGATCCCCGCCACCTGCTTCGTCTCGGACACGGCATGGAGGAGCTGGAGATCGAGGGCGTTGCCGGCAACTGGGGCAAGGCCGGGCGTGTGAACTCGTTCCTGGAAAAGCGACTCCAGCTTCTTGCGGAGGTCGACCGCCTCGCGGCCAGCCTGGAGGTGCCCGGTGCCCACGGCTCCACGTGCGAAACGGCCGGGTACTTTTACCGATACCATATCCTGACACGCTGGGAGCACTACCTCAGCCAGATCAAAGATCAGGATCCCGACGAGGGCACCCTGCAGAAGCTTGTCTCGACCTTCCCGTTCGCCGCTTTCTTCTCCAACGCGCCAGAGCCGCTGTTTGCGAGCGCCAACTTGTACGAAGAAGCGCTTGACGTCGCGGAGGGGTGCTTCCGGCATCTCAAGAACATCTTTGAGGAGCTGGAAGAGATCCGTGCCTTTGAGCTGCTCAAGTCCAGCCGCGACCGATCCAACTATCTCTTGATCAAGGAAGCCAAGATCATTGCACTGACCTGTACGCATGCCGCCCTCAAGCGACGGGAGTTGGTGCAGCTGGGCTTCAAGTACGACAACGTTGTGATGGAAGAAGCCGCACAGATTCTCGAGGTCGAGACGTTTATTCCCTTGCTGCTGCAGTCGCCTGAGGAAGACGGCAAGAGCCGCCTCAAGCGGGTCATCATGATCGGAGACCACAACCAGCTACCCCCCGTCGTGAAGAACATGGCCTTCCAAAAGTACGGCAACATGGAGCAGTCCATGTTTACTCGTTTTGTCCGGCTTGGCGTGCCGACAATCGAGCTGGCTGCCCAGGGTCGTTCGCGCAGCTCCATCGCCGAGCTCTTCCGATGGCGCTACCACAGTCTCGGCGACTTGCCGTCGGTGTGCAACCGAGAGGAGTATCAGCGCGCCAACCCCGGTCTGGCGTTCGAGTTCCAGCTCATCGATGTCGGCAAGTATCTGAACAAAGGCGAGACCGAGCCTCGGCCACACTTTGTCCAGAACCTGGGCGAGGCTGAGTACGTGGTCGCCACGTACCAGTACATGCGACTGCTGGGGTAAGTTGTTGGGAGCAGGAGAGAAGGGCCTTGGCTGGTGCCGCTGGCGCCGTCACAGAGGGGCGGCTGCGTGTGGGCAGAACCGAGAGCAGTCCGCAGGATATCCTGCGGCGGTCGCCTGGCCCGCGCCAATCTTCATCAAACGTTGGCCCAGTGTTGCTCATGCGTCATTCCCATGCTCTGTTGTTGTGCCTTCGACCCCATAGGTACCCCGCAGAGAAGATCTCGATTCTTACGACCTACAACGGCCAGAAGGAGCTTATCCACGATGTTCTCGAGCGCCGCTGTTCGTGGAATCCGCTCTTTGGCCGCCCGGCTCACGTCTCAACGGTCGACAAGTTCCAGGGCCAGCAGAACGACTACATCCTGCTGTCACTCGTGCGTACCAAGACCGTCGGCCATCTGCGCGACGTCCGCCGTTTGATTGTGGCAATGTCGCGTGCCCGACTCGGTCTGTACGTCTTTTGCCGCCAGAAGCTCTTCCAGAACTGCTTTGAGTTGCAGCCCGTGTTCTCGATCTTTGCCAAGCGCCCGACGGATCGGTTGTGGCTCGTCACAGGTGAAAAGTATGGCGCATGGGACCGCGCCGCTGCCGAGCCGGTCGTGGTTCGCCAGGTCGCCGAGACCAGCGACCGGGCAAAGGATGGGCCTGTGAGCACCAGTAGCACCAAGAAGACCCGAACGCCGGCCAAGAAGTCAAAAGCTGGGCCCAAGGCTGCCGCCCTTGTTGCTGCCGATGTCGATGCCGATGCCTCCAGTGCCGCCCCTCCGTCGACTGGCGGTGACTGGAAGCCTGCTGAAGCCTGGAAGGAGCGCGTCTACGGCATGGCCGGGGTCGAAGCGATGGGCACGTATGTCCACCAGATGATCCAAGAGCAGCTCGCTCATCTCAAGGTCCAGCGAGACGCAGCCTTCCAAGCCGAGATGACCGTAGCGCAGCCTGAGGCTGTCGAGTCGACCGAGACCGCCGCTCAGGACGAGGGCGACGACGACGAGGATGAAAATGATGCCTAGTCGTGCGACCCGCAGCCGACTCTTTCTTTCGATTCGGGCATCGAGGGTGCTGATCGCGAGTCCTGCATCCCAATGCGGTGCGCAACGTGATTACAGCGTTTGTAAATGAAATGAGACACCCCCGTTTTTAACCAGGACAGTGTTTTTCTGGAACCTGAATACACCCACCCACTCATCGCATTCATGGCCAAGCACATCACCATCTTGATATCGAGAAACCACACTTTGTCCGGAGCTGTGCAAGCTGCCATACGCTGTGGGATCGAGACATCAATGCCTCAAGGAACATGATCTCGGTATGCCAGTCGATCATCGCCACAGGAGATCGACCGAGTGTATTCAAGACTGTGCTCCCGAAACCAACCAAAACCACTCGATTGCCAACCAGGACGGGAAACAATCTTTCTGGATAGACTGTATACAACCAATGTATTCGAGGGAGCTATGTGGATGGGCGGGGCAAGGAGCGTCAGACAACAGCCCGAGAGAGGTGGACAAAAACAATCAAGAATCGGATGGGTGGGTGGCTGGAAAGGGCCAGGACGGAGGCCAGGGCTTCTCGCAGCCGCATGTGGGCGATATCGTGGAAAGTCGCTGCGAAGACAGAACCAAGATTGTGGAGGGGGGGAGAGGGGCGATACCGCAATCGCTGAAATTCAAGCAGCCTCGGTCAAGGCGCCATCCTCGTCTTGCTCATGGGCAATCACCGTGCAGGTCCCTTCATCATTCTCGTTGTATGTATCGGTGAATCCGGCGTCGTTCGGGGGCCGAGGACTGGCCGCGGCCAGGCTTTGTCGGCGAGTGCTGCTGCTCTCACGTCGCCGATCAGCGCTGATGGTCTCGTCTTCGGCATAATCTTCCAGGTCGTATTGGTCCATGGAGTCAAACTCTTCCTCCTCAAAGTACGAGGGATCGTCAGGAGTCAGGTTGCTGAGGCCGCCTGTGCCGTCGTCGCTTGGTGCAGCGGCCCTGCGCTCCGTAGCCATCTTGACCCACTCGTCGAAATCAAAGTCTTCAAAGTCGACTTGGGCAAAGGGGTGATCGAGCAGCTGCGCAGCAGTCGAACGCCTCTCCGAGTCGCTGTATGGAGAAGGTCGCATGGTTGAGAAGAGCAGCCGCAATGAGCCCCATGGCCTTGCGTCGCCAAAGCCTCACGCACACACCCGGCCCGTGCAAAGAGCAAGAAATGAAGCGATCGAGTGCGTGGGGGGGGGGACGTGCAACCTACACGACAAGACAATCGTTGATGAATGCCTTGGAGGCTTCCGACAAACTATCCGGGATCGGGGGTGAATTGCCTGTGCCCAGCAGGTAGACAATGTTACCATGCACCTTGTGCCAAGGATGGATGCCCGTCAGCATCTCGAGGACCAGGCAGCCCAGACTCCTGGAGGATTGTGAGCAGATGAAATGCAAGTGAAACCGAGGCAAAGCAAAGCGATGCGGGATATAAAGCAGTGTCTCTGTCAGTATGAATGTGATATCCGCGGGCCAACAAATGAGATGACCCCGGCCCCTCAGGCAACAGGCACAAATGGAAAGCCATCACGAGCAACCACGATCCACAGTGCCTCGGGTACCACGGATCCTCACCAAATATCAATCTTTGCACCGTATCCTTTGCCTCGGGCGACCTCGGGAGCCATCCATGGGACAGTGCCCTGCATCGACATGTTTGTCAGGCGCTTGTAGGTGCGCTCAGTGTCTGTACAAGATGCAGATGGGATTCGTCAGGACCGTGCGCTATAACAACGACCAATCTCATACGAACGCTGTAATGGTGGGTGCCCAAGGTGATCGCGAGCATTCATCCACGAGGGACATGGCTGTCCAAGACAGAGTGCTTACCGGTTCGCTTGGAGATGCCGAAATCAGAGATCTTTGCCACTCCGTCAACATCGACCAGAACTGGGCAATAGAAGGGGCCAGACAGAAGTGCATTCCCAGTGAGTTAAACAAAGGAGGAGGATGGGGCGATCAGGGGGGGGATGTGTGGCAGCTGGGCCATCCAAATCGGCATCGTGTTTGGCGCAACCAAGCGATGTCCTGGCTGCATCTGTTGCGGCAGTCCTGTCAGCCACTCACCATTGGCACCCTTGATATCACGATGGATGATGCCCCTAGACGCCGGATAAAGTTGTGGAATCACCGCTTGTGTCAGACACGAAGCTGTGGCCTCGCTGGAGCCCCGCTGTAGCCTCTTTGCAGCAGAGCGCGGCACGCCCACCCTCCTGCACGAAAGACGACTGCGTTTGTACTTACTTTCCATGCAGGTAAGAGAGGCCACAGAGGATCTGCATGGTCATGTGGCGCGTGATGTCGTCGTCGAACTTGCCGTACTTGGCCAGACAACTGGCAATCGAGCCACCAGACACGTACTCGAGGAAGACGTTGAACGTGGTGGGAGTCACCTCCGACCCTGAGAAACATTGGCACATCCGTTCGTCAGGCACTCTGCTTCCACCGGACTCGACGAGCCACACATATCCATGCACGCGCACGCGCACATCATGCACATGCAGACGCTTACCAAGGTAGCGGACAATGTTGATATCGTCCAGTTCCTCGAGCAGCTCGATTTCCTTGCGGAGAGCCTCCTCCTTCTTGCGCTTCTGGGCGTCGTTGGCGGTGCCCAGCACGACTTGCTTCACTGCCATGATCTGGAGGGTATCCAGATCCAGTCCGTGGAACACACGGCCGTAGGCACCTTGGCCAATAAGTCGGCCTTGCTCCCAACGTATCACGCGCCGGATGCTGTTCTGAGGCTGCTCTGTCTGCGTCGCAGGCTCGACGCCACCGTGCTCGCCTTGATCACCCTCAGCGGCCAGGGCCACCTGAGCAGCCAGGAAGGAGTCCTCTGAGTCTGGGATGCTCGAGCGGGCTCGGCTCTGGCGGATGCTTGTCTCGAACACCGAGTCAGCCATAATAGATGAGCTGCGTCGCTGGATCGAAGGCGAGCCTTTGACAAACGAAACAGCGTCGACATCGGCGTCGACATCGGCATCGGTATCACCTGCAAGCCCGGCATCGGCGGCTCCAGGGACAAGAACGGTGTTGATTTTGGTGTCCGCGTCGGCATCCATGCCGGCGTCGATATCGCTAGCATCCTCCTCGCTTTCCTCCAGCAAAGCCTCGCGAGCACTTGCTCCTTCAAACGAAGGGCGACCCTTTGCCGATTCGGCACGCGACAGCAGCGAGGGTTTGCGCAAATGAAGCTGAGGAGAGGAGCGGTGGGTGCTGCCAATGTACTCGTTCAGGAGGCCATTGATGGAGACGTCCGAGTTGCTGCGACCAATGCCACTGGGCAGATCCAGCCGATAGATGCTCGGCATCACATCCGAATCGGCGCTCGGGAGGCGGCTAAGCTCGGAAGCGGCATCGTCGTCAATGTTGTAGCCGCGTGACTTGACTTCGATCGACGGTCGAGCCGCGCCGCTGTCCTCGGAAGTATTTCGCTGTCGGGCATTTTGGGCAGCAGTGCCTGCCCGACGGATCATGGAGGTACTAGT